AAGATTGGGATCATTCCCTGCCTATTTTCAGACCACAATGCTTTGAAACTAGAACTCAATCACAAGAGGAAAGTCGGAAAGAACTCAAATACATAGAGGCTAAAGAGCATCCTACTGAAGAACGCATGGGTCAACCAGGAAATTGAAAGAAGAATTTTTAAAATTCATGGAAACCAATGAAAATGAAAACACATCTGTTCAAAATCTTTGGGATGCAGCAAAGGCAGTCCTAAGAGGAAAGTATATAGCAATACAAGCCTTTCTCAAGAAACAAGAAAGGACTCAAGTACACAACCTAACCCTACACCTAAAGGAGCTGGAGAAAGAACAGCAAATAAAGCCTAAACCCAGCAGGAGAAGAGAAATAATAAAGATCAGAGCAGAAATCAATGAAATAGAAACTAAAAGACCAGTAGAACAGATCAACGAAACTAGGAGCTGGTTCTTTGAAAGAATTAACAAGATTGATAAACCCCTGGCCAGACTTATCAAAAAGAAAAGAGAAAGGACCCAAATCAACAAAATCATGAATGAAAGAGGAGAGATCACAACCAACACCAAAGAAATACAAACAATTATAAGAACATATTATGAGCAACTCTATGCCAGCAAATTAGATAACCTGGAAGAAATGGATGCATTCCTAGAGGTGTATCAACTACCAAAACTGAACCAGGAAGAAATAGAAAACCTGAACAGACCTATAACCACTAAGGAAATAGACGCAGTCATCAAAAATCTCCCAACAAACAAAAGCCCAGGGCCAGATGCTTCCCAGAGGAATTCTACCAAACATTTCAAGAAGAATTAATACCTATTCTTCTGAAACTGTTCCAAAAAATAGAAATGGAAGGAAAACTTCCAAACTCATTTTATGAGGCCACCATTACCTTGATCCCAAAACCAGACAAAGACCCCATCAAAAAGGAGAATTACAGACCAATATCCCTGATGAACATGGATGCAAAAATTCTCACCAAAATACTAGCCAATAGAATCCAACAGTACATTAAAAGGATTATTCACCACAACCAAGTGGGATTTATCCCTGGGCTGCAAGGTTGGTTCAACATCTGCAAATCAATCAACGTGATACAATACATTAACAAAAGAAAGAACAAGAACCATATGATCCTCTCAATAGACGCAGAAAAAGCATTTGACAAAGTACAGCATCCTTTCTTGATCAAAACTCTTCAGAGTATAGGCATAGAGGGTACATACCTCAATATCATAAAAGCCATCTATGAAAAACCTACAGCGAATATCATTCTCAATGGGAAAAAACTGAGAGCTTTCCCCCTAAGTTCAGGAATGCAGCAGGGATGTCCACTATCACCACTGCTATTCAACATAGTATTAAAAGTCCTAACCACAGGGCGCCTGGGTGGCTCAGTTGGTTAAGCGACTGCCTTCGGCTCAGGTCATGATCCTGGAGTCCCGGGATCGAGTCCCGCATTGGGCTCCCTGCTCAGCAGGGAGTCTGCATTTAAAAAAAAAAAAAAAAAAAAGTCCTAACCACAGCAATCAGACAACAAAAAGAAGTCAAAGGCATCCAAATCGGCAAAGAAGAAAACTCTCACTGTTTGCAGATGAAATGATACTTTATGTGGAAAACCCCAAAGACTCCACCCCAAAACTGCTAGAACTCATACAGGAATTCAGTAAAGTGGCAGGATATAAAATCAATGCACAGAAGTCAGTGGCATTCCTATACACCAACAACAAGACAGAAGAAAGAGAAATTAGGAGTCGATCCCATTTACAATTGCACCCAAAACCATGAGATACCTAGGAATAAATCTAACCAAAGAGGCAAAGGATCTGTACTCAGAAAACTATAAAATACTCATGAAAGAAATTGAGGAAGACACAAAGAAATGGAAAAACATTCCATGCTCATGGATTGGAAGAACAAATATTGTGAAGATGTCAATGCTACCTAGAGCAATCTACACATTCAATGCAATCCCCATCAAAATGCCATCCACTTTTTTCAAAGAAATGGAACAAATAATCCTAAAATTTGTATGGAACCAGAAAAGACCCCGCATAGCCAGAGGAATGTTGAAAAAGAAAAGCAAAGCTGGCGTCATCACAATTCCGGACTTCCAGCTCTATTACAAAACTGTCATCATCAAGACAGTATGGTACTGGCACAAAAACAGACACGTAGATCAATGGAACAGAATAGAGAGCCCAGAAATGGACCCTCAACTCTATGGTCAACTCATCTTTGACAAAGCAGGAAAGAATGTCCAGTGGCAAAAAGACAGTCTCTTCAAAAAATGGTGTTGGGAAAACTGGACAGCCACATGCAGAAGAATGAAACTGGACCATTTCCTTACACCACACACAAAAATAGACTCCAAATGGTTGAAAGACCTAAATGTGAGACAGGAGTCCTTCAAAATCCTAAAGGAGAACACAGGCAGCAACCTCTTTGACCTCAGCTGCAGCAACTTCTTCCTAGAAACATCGCCAAAGGCAAGGGAAGCAAGGGCAAAAATGAACTATTGGGACTTCATCAAGATAAAAAGAATAGCAAAAGAAACAGTCAACAAAGCCAAAAGACAACCGACAGAATGGGAGAAGATATTTGCAAATGACATATCAGATAAAGGGCTAGTATCCAAAATCTATAAAGAACTTATCAAACTCAACACCCAAAGAACAAAGAATCCAATCAAGAAATGGGCAGAAGACATGAACAGACATTTTTCCAAAGAAGACATCCAAATGGCCAACGGACACATGAAAAAGTGCTCAACATTGCTCGGCATCAGGGAAATCCAAATCAAAACCTCAATGAGATACCACCTCACACCAGTCAGAATGACTAAAATTAACAAGTCAGGAAATGACAGATGTTGGTGGGGATGCGGAGAAAGGGGAACCCTCCTACACTGTTGGTGGGGATGCAAGCTGGTGCAGCCACTCTGGAAAACAGTATGGAGGTTCCTCAAAAAGTTGAAAATAGAGCTACCATACGATCCAGCAATTGCACTACTGGGTATTTACCCCAAAGATACAAAAGTAGGGATCCGAAAGGGTACGTGCACCCCGATGCTTATAGCAGCAATGTCCACAATAGCCGAACTGTGGAAAGAGCCAAGATGTCCATCGACAGATGAATGGATAAAGAAGATGTGGTATATATATACAATGGAATATTATGCAGCCATCAAAAGGAATGAGATCTTGCCATTTGCAATGACATTGATGGAACTGCAGGGTATTATGCTGAGCGAACTAAGTCAATCAGAGAAAGACATGTATCATATGACCTCACTGATAAGAGGAATTCTTAATCTCAGGAAACAAACTGAGGGTTGCTGGAGTGGGGGGGTGGGGTGGGAGGGATGGGCTGACTGGGTGATAGACACTGGGGAGGGTATGTGCTCTGGTAAGTGCTGTGAACTGTGCAAGACTGTTGAATCTCAGATCTGTACCTATGAAACAAATAATGCAATATATGTTAAGAAAAAAAAAGAAGATAGCGGGAGGGGAAGAATGAACGGGGGAAATCGGAGGGGTAGACAAACCATGAGAGATGGACTCTGAAAAACAAACTGAGGGTTCTAGAGGGGAGGGGGGTAGGAGGATGGGTTAGCCTGGTGATGGGTATTAAAGAGGGCACGTTCTGCATGGAGCACTGGGTGTTATGCACAAACAACGAATCATGGAACACTACATCTAAAACTAATGATGTAATGTGTGGGGATTAACATAACAATAAAAAAAATTAAAAAAAAAAAAGTCCTAAGTTTGGCTATGTAGTCTAACCCGTCAGAAGCTGCATGCTCGTCCTATATGCCTACACGATCTAAACTAACAATCACGTTGTTCTGCTCGCCAAACATGGCCAAAAGACACAAATAATAAATACTGGATAATCACACCTTTGGGACTGAACAATGGTTCTTCCAGTTTATTATGTCACCCAACCTAACAGTGACAACACAATGTCATAAGTGAACATGGCTAAAGATGTACTGCGGGGTTTTTTGTTGTTGCGAGTCTCTAAGATTTGAGGTGACGAAAATACTTTTTACAGATCAGTATCACTGCTCTAGCCTAGTCTACCAGGAAATACAGATGTCATCAGGATTAGTTAGTTGTAAGAGCAGCAAATGGACTTATCCTTAAAGTCATCAAGACTTTCATAGGCAAAGTACTTCCCAATAACTGGTTTTGGCTTTACAACAGGCCTCCAAAGCCTTCAAGGTAGGAAATGAGTACACGGTGGCACGCAGAGTGTAGATGAATTGCCTTTATAGCGGCTCTGCTTCTCAGGAGAGGGTCAGAGGGAAGGGCCTTTTCCCGTCCCAGTACTTTGCCCAGGGGAATCCGTGTCCCGAGTCCCTAAGTTAATATTAACCCGGCCCAAGAAGTTTCTCTGGCGAGTGCGTTCACGAGCCTCTCCTCACAGTCTTCCATCTGCCTCTAGTGTAGCAGCTACAACGCAAAACCGTCAGCACTTAGTTTCCCTCGGCGGGATCTTGACGCAATCGCAGTCAAGGAAGCAGTGATGCGGCTGCCTCCCGGTGAATCAGGGCGTTCAGGGAAAGCGGCGTCAACTACCTGGAAACCAAGCCCGGAGTTTCTCGCTCACCCTCCAGACGCTCGTCTCCCCTTCCCTCATCCCGCTTTCCGCTCCCACTGACTTGGAAAGCCTCAGCTCCTTCCCACTTACCGAAGTCCTCCCGGGGCCTCGACCCTCGGGTGGGCACTGAGTCAGCTCGGCTCGGCACCCTTCGGCCCTCGGGAGAGCGGTTCCCAGGCCCGAGCGGCAGGGGGACAGAGGTTCGGGCCTATTCACTCCTCCTGGCAGCCCTACTTCGGATTTATTTGGGTAGCTAGACTCGGGGGAGGGGGTCGGTCACGCGTTCGAGAAGCCCGAGGGAGCACCCCCACCCCCTCCACCAGGGTTTCGAAAGAGGCAACCCGGGAGCGGCGGTCTACAGTCTCGCGAGAGGAGGCGGCCCCCCCCCCCCCGCCCGGAGTTCTCGGCCCCTCCCTGCCCCACCCTCCCCACGTCCCCCGCCCTCCCTCCCCCACTCCCCGTGGCGCGAGCGGCTGACTGAGCCTGGAGAGGAAACAGCATTCGGAGCTGCGCTCCCGCCCAGGCCGGCCCTGACGCGGGCCTCGTCAGCCGGTAACGGGGAGCAGAGGTGGGGGCCAGGGAGGCGACCACGAAAACGGTGAAGGTCAGAACCGAGAGGCCTCCTCCGAGAAGGGTGAGGAAAGGGTCTGAGCCTCCTTCTACAGACTCTGCAGAGCTGAGGCGGGGTCGACCCCTCCCAGGGGCGGGGTCGCGCTGGGCAACTGCAGCCCTGGGGACTGACTGGGCGGGGCGCGCCAAGAAAGGGGAGGAAGGGGTCAGCTGGGGGTTGAGGGCTCTCCGGCGGCGGGAAGCAGGAGGTGGGCTGTGGGGCTGAGGCCGTGGGTGGGGTCCTGGAGCTGGGACTCCGGTGACGGGCTGGGGAAGCCCCGGGGCCAGCGGGTCCCTTCCGCCTCTCCTTTGGACCCTGACTGGAGGCCGGCGGGGGTGGGGGCAGGGGGGGGCGAGCGGCGCGAGGGGGCGGGTCCCGGCGCTACTCGGCGCTGATTGGCTGAGCGCGTGTGGAATCGGGTGATGGGAAACGCAGCCCGGTTCTCCCGTGCCCTCCTGCTCCTCTCCCTCCCCACCGTGGCGAATGTGCTGCGCGGCGGCGGGTGCTTACGCTCGCGGGGTTTGGCTGTTGCAGGCAGGAGCTGGGAGGAGGCGGCAGCGGCAGGAGCAGCGGCGGCGGCGGCGGCAGCTGGGAGGAGGTGGTGACGGTGGCAACGGCAGCGTCGGGGACGATGGCGCGACTGGTGGCAGTGTGCAGGGACGGGGAGGAGGAGTTCCCCTTCGAGAGGAGGCAGATTCCCCTCTACATAGACGACACCCTCACGGTGAGCGGGCCGGGCCGGGCCGGGCTCGCCGCTCCCCTGGCAGCTGTTTCCCCTCCTCCCCCTCCCCCAGGCCGAGCGCTGCGCACTGGAGAAAGAGTGTGTTGCAACTCCTAGGCGAGGCCTCCTCTCCGGCAGGCCCCACAAACTCGCCTTTGCAGTGTGTCGCACGGTAACCTCTGCGGGCCCCTAGCCCAGCGCTCCGTAAGCATTTCGAGCCCCTCTCGCCAGATTTTCCTTCCTTTTTGAACCTCTTGCTTTCCCCTGCCTCTGAGCGAGACGCTGCTTTTGCCAAAGCCCGCGCCTCGGAGAGGAGTTGAAGGATCTTGGGCGTTTAGGGCCTATCCTTTACAGAATCCACCTACCCTCGGGGAAGCTTCATTATCTGGAAATGTCGCAGCTGCACTGCTACCTGTATATTTTCTCTCTCAATATTATAGCTCACTACGGGAGCTTAATTACTTAAGGCAGAGTGACATGCTCTCGCACAGTAAAGATTCCACTAAAATGATTTGGTTTCATTGCAAATAGTGTCATATTGCCTAGTACATTAACACTCTTTGAAATGAGTGTAGTGCTAGGCCATGACTCTTCAAAATGGATTTTCTTGGCAGTAGTTATTTTTTAGTGTACAGGTAGCCTTTTCTTTCTTTTTTTAATAAAGCAAAATTACTGAATGTGTAAGGGCATTATAAAAAGCTGATTGTTCATCTCGAGTGTCAAAACCCACTTCTGGGTAGTTTTCTTTTTTAGAGTTGATGGTAGTATAGCATTACTGACCCTCTGCGCTGTGTTGCTGTACTATTTCCTTTGAAAGGAAATGGCAGAAATTTGAATTGAATCTGAACAGGAAATGAGTGCAGTTGCTTGCCACTATTTCGTAAAAAATGAAATGAACCTTTTCTGAATATCTTTTGAAATCTGCATTTTGATGATGCTGAAGCTTTGGATTATACATTTGCCTATTTTGATAGGTGCAACTCAGTCTCTTTATCATATTACCTTTGCCTTTTTGCTTTTCAGAGGCAGTTCTGTTTTGTTCTTGAATTTTTTTTTGGCAAATATCTATTGAAGTTTTTTCAAATTTTATATAAAATGCAAGTCATTGTAGAGCTGCCACTCTGTGCCTTTCTGTTTGCCAGTCTCAAGACTTGATTGAGCTGCAGTATTTTTAGATTAGAAGAGCTATTTGGTGACTTAATTTGTTAGAACTTTTTATGTGAAAGCATCTTTTTTTTTTCATGGAAAGAAAGTGCATTTTTTTTTTCATGGAAAAAGAATGATTTGGCCTGACATAAGGTAAATAGAGTTTGTGTTGATGCATTAGAAAGTGCCTGTATGCCTTGATTATGATTTCTGTATTTTTTACATTAAAAGTATAATGGAATTGTATCTTAAGTTAAAAAACTAGCACTCTGATCAAATTAAATGATGCATTTCTCCATTTGAAAACTCCTAATATGAGTTCATTTGTTACTTTCTTCTCTTCCTCTTCTTACACAAACACTTTTCTAGAGCACGTAATTTGGTATAAACTTTCTATGATTATTGTCCCACAGTGTCTTTGAAGTTTAAAAAAATCCAATGGGTTTAGACATAAGGTTACTTTTGAGTGTATAATATCAAAACATAGGGGAAATCAACATAAATTTGAATATTTACAGCATTTTAAAAGACCCTTATTGACACTTCCTGACACTTCTTTATGGTCACATAACTACCTTTTGTGTGAATGGAGCATTGATACATCTGTCATATAGCACTTTAAAACAGTGGGTGTTTTTATACTCTGTTCTCTGTACAGTGATACTAGTTTCTAAAATTTTCCATAGAAAAAGATGTAACCTTGCACGGTGATACGTGATTGTACTTATTTCTCCAGAGAAGTTGGGATTGGACTGAACCTGGTGATGGAGTTTTGCTTTTATTGTATTGTGGACTTGTGACCAAGGCAAATAAAATTTAGGGTCATTGAATTTAAATATCCCAAAATAGCATTTTATTTAGGAAAAGGTGCAGTTTTTCTTGTCTTTAGAAGGGTTTTTATCACTAGGAATGAGTGGGACTATTTATTGCTTTGTCTTGGAACTTGTGCATAGTCATTGAATGCTGGTTAGTGAAAATTCTTGTCAAAAATGCATTATATTTAGGGAAACAACTTTCAGAACTTTCTATCAAATACTACTCAAAAGAAGAAGACAGAGCAAACACCTGTTGGGGAAGAGGGAGGGAAGATGCCTGTAGCAGAAGTTTATGCTCTGCACTGGTCCACTGATAGTTTGATGGCAGTGTATCCCTGAAGTTAACATTTGGTCTGGTCTTTGTTCTTAGGGTCCATAGGTAATGCATTGAAAAAAGGTTGTGTGATCTTTATTTCAAGTAGTCTTAGAATCTTGTTAGCGCCTACATGTTAAGTCTGGTTACAGCTTTCACAGTTCAGTTACAAATGTTGTATCATTTTAGTAACAGAAGTTGAAACCTCTAGCCTTAATTCTACGTGATTTTAGGTTGGACTTTATAAAATGAAATTGAGAAGCTTGTATGTGAGGAAGTAGTCTCCTCCTTTACGTGGTATGTTAAATCCACGTTGAAGACTCATTTGGTAATTCTTAGTGGGTTTGAATACTTGAGTACAGCTGATATAGGTGTATTTGAGAAAATCCCAAAGAAGTAAGTTGGTGGAATATTTAGGAAAGTGGTATGCTGTGTGGCCAAAATGCTTTTTGGTGTTACTAGAATTGTAAAATAACAAATGGGCAGAATACGGATTTTATTTTAGAGATATTTTTGGAGAATTACAATTTTTACACATGATCTTAGCCAAAAGGCCGAGAAGCAATGGAGAATTACAATTTTTAAGTGAGTAGTTTTTTAAAAAAAAAATTAAGAGTCAAAATTTACACCCTTTATAAAATAATCTTGAAAAATAACGGTATAACAAAGAAAAAAAATTATCCTTAATCCTACTTCCCAGAGATAACTAAGGAGATAGAAGCATTTGCTATAATTCTAGTCATAGATACACACTTAGACGCAGAATTGAGATGTATTGTTTACTGTAACATTTTATATCTGGCTTTTTTTTCCCCCAGTAAATGTAATACTGAGAACATTTGTTCTTGTCATTCTTAAGCAGCTTTATTGGCCATATAATTTGTTGTGTGACATTCCATAATTTAATTATTCTTCCTTTGTGGATGTAGGGGTGATTCTACTTTTGACTATGAATAATATAAAAATATAAATAATGCATAAATCTAGGCATTAAATTTTTTTTTCTCAGGCTTTGAAGTACAGTTCTGGATCACAGAAGAGCCTTTTGTAAAGTTCTTGATACATAGTGTCACATTGCTATAATATTGCTGGGAAGCAGTTTACCCTCCTAATAATTCAAACAATCTAAATGGACTAGAGACTCTGATAATGGATTTTAATGGAGACATTAAAAGATAGTAAATGTTAACATATCCACATATATATATATATATATATATGGGGATTAGGTGTTTAGCATTTTTAAATTTAGTATTTAATGTTTTCTTTTAACTCTTAAGTATTTAATTGATTTTACCAAAGGTGATAGATGTTAGAAATAGCTGTGAGGATGAAGTAAAAAAGTAAAGCTAAAGTGACAGTGACTTTTAATAAATACAGATTTAATATTGTTGGTTAGAGCTTGTGAGAATGTGCTAAGAACAGATTATTTGTGGTCAGGAGAAACCAGGACAGATATTTAAGAGTGAAAGTGGGTAATGGATTCAATAAACTTTATAAAGCAGTAATTGCAGGACAATGACTGGTTCTATTTTAGGCCAGTGAGGGAAAGGCAACCTCATCATGAAACAGAACACTAATGATTCCTCTGTGAAACCACACCTGAAATACTTTACATGACTGTCTTCCTTTAGGTAACCTAGAATCCGAAGATTAAGTCAAGGAAGCGGTTTTAAAGAATGGGAAAAAATAGTGCTACTCTCCTCTTTGTCTTCTCTTTTTCCTTTTTTCTTACTGTTCTCTCTGAACATTAAAGAGCATATAGTGATTTACCAGAAAACAGCAAGGTAAAAAGCCATTGTCCTATGTGTTTGAAAAGCAAGGACAGAATAATTTAGTGTGAGTGCAGAGTTTAACCAGGGTGGTATAGAGTAAGTACAAGAGAAAATTTAGTATTATCCAAGCCAGTGAAACCCAGGAAAGACACAGTAGTAGACCTAATCTTGACATTTATCTCTACTAGTTAGGTGAAAATCAAATGATCTGAAATGAAGATTAAAAAAAAATTTTTTTAACCCTGTCCCTTGTACCTTTTAGAAAGGATTCCTAAAGCAGGTATTATCCATTAAATTATATATATTTTAAATGTCAGCTGTTAGATCTCAGTGTTAGATTTGTTTTTTGACCTCTGCTTTAATTATTAAAACAATAAAACATAGTTGATAAAAATTCATTATACCGAGTCAGAATTTAGGATTTCACCTATGAACCAGACTGGAGAGACCTGGATTTGGTTAAATAAGGAGCATTCTTTGAATGTTCCTTAAATTGGTAGCTTTGATCTTAAAATAGTATAGGTAATTATCTTAATTTTTTTATGGTGGCAGTTGATACGTGGTGAAATGGTGTGCATTTGTATCAAACAAGTGAGAATGCAAATTAAGGTGTTAGTTGCTTAAATGGTAGATTTGGAGTGACCTGCAGTGTCCTGTTCAGTTACATGGCTTTAAAAGTTTTCCTACACCTTTTTTCTGACTTGACAGTATAGTTTCTTTGTGTTTTAAACCATGTAGTGATGACAAAAAACATGTGAGTTAACTGTACAGTACTATTAACTATTTTTATCTTTTACCAGTTTTCAAGGACCAGGATTTCTTTTTTTTTTTTTTTTTTAAGATTTTATTTATTTATTTGAGAGAGAGAGAATGAGAGACAGAGAGCATGAGAGGGAGGAGGGTCAGAGGGAGAAGCAGACTCCCTGCCAAGCAGGGAGCCTGATGTGGGACTTGATCCTGGGACTCCAGGATCATGACCTGAGCCGAAGGCAGTCGCTTAACCAACTGAGCCACCCAGGCGCCCAAGGACCAGGATTTCTAATATTGGGATTATTAATTTTTTAAAAAATTTGAGTAGACTGTTAAATATAAGTACAATGGACGGTATGGATCATTAGTTTTTTTTCCCATATATTTCTGTTATATACCAAGAATGGACAATGATGCAAGCACCAACTCAACAATCCCATTTAGAGTTCATTTAGAGCCACCTTGTTAAAGCAGACCAGTGACCAGTTTTACTTAGTACTGTTGGTGAAGTTAACATATGAAAGTGCATAGAACAACACCCGGTATATATGACGCTACACTAAATGTCATTATTATTACTACTACCAGTCTTCGGAGATATTAATAAGACTGTAAGAGGGAAGATTAGAGAGAAGTCAATAAACCTGAAAATGGGGTAATTGTTCCTTGAACCTATGAGATTTGGACATAATAGTCTATGTGTATGGAAGAAGAAACTTCCAGAACAATAAAGCTCTTGAGATGGAAGCATGTCTCTGAATATGGTATAATGAACATAGAATTGGAAGCAAGGAACACTGACTTTCCCCCCTTGGTAATAAACAGTATATATGCATTGTAATAAATTTGGGAAAGGTAGGAACACATAAAGGAAAAACTCTTAATCTTTTCACTGCCTAGAGATAGGCCACATCTAACATGCGTATTTTCTTTTTCTGTAAGAAAGTATACCTGCATACAAACATTTGAATCATTTTGTACATGCAATTTTTGGTTCTGTGAAATACAGTGGTATCCTGGATTGTTGAGTTGGTGCTTGCATCATTGTCCATTCTTGGTATCCCCTTGTCTCTACTTCACATATCCTGTGTTCCCCCCTTATCAAATTAAGAAAAGATCTATTCCTTTTACTTGTCTTTATTGTTCAGTCCTTAGTTTATTGTTAGAACAAGCATGTTTTAGGGCTGTTATTTCTAATGTGGAGGAAAAAGAGGGTCACATCTATTAAAGCAGGTCTTTGTGGTGCTGGTTGGTGAAGAAGGAATCTTTTTAAGATCATGTTCAACTGGTTGGGGTATTTTTAGTGTTTTGTTTTTGCCTCAAATGGGTCTCTTTATCATGACTTCACTCTTTGGATATGTAGGAGTTTGTGGTCCTTGTCATCTGGAAATAGAAGTTTGTCCTAGCACAGTATGTTTAATACCTTTAACAATGTTTTAGTTAAGATATAAATGTGTTACTTTATTTCATTGTTTTGAAAGGCATACTTTTTTTGCTCCCACATTTTACCATCTCTGAAATTGGGATGTTTCTTTCATTTGGTGACATATCTAATAGTTATAAAGGCTCTTTCCTAGTGGTATGTAACCATGGTACTTTCTAAAATGAGTGGTGTCACAGATCAGTGACATGTGCTAATTAATAGTTCCCCATTATCTGATACTCAGAAACATCCTTTAGCTTTATATCCCTCTTCCTCTGGTAGGGAATTTTGATAATTGAATAAATATCTCTGTATCCTTTTTGTTCCTAATTAGAATAGACATTTAGTATATGCCAGGTATTGTTCTGAGTATTTCATATATGTGTGGTCCGTATGTGTATGGCCATTTGCATAATAAAATTTAGTATATTCCATAATTAAGAGGAATAACTAAAAGTATGTGTAATGTAAAATATCAGGTTATTTTACATATTAATTATTATTATTGGCCTCTGCAACAAACACTTTTAAACATAATTTAATCTTTACAACCTACTCTATGAGAGATATTAAACATTATTACTTAATCTCATTTTACAAATGAGGAAGCTGAAAAATCAAACAGGTTAAGTAACTTGCCCAGAGTTACGACATACTTTTAAGTGGTGGAGCTGGGATTTGAACTCTTGTTTGCCTGACTTCATTGTCCTTGCTTCTAATGACTATACCATTCCTGGCTTTAGAAACTTATGTAACTTGGGTGGTGGTGGTGGTGGTGGTCTTAACTTCTTTTGACGGAGGGGGGGTGGGGGGGGGAGACTGGGATGTGCAATCCTGCTTTAGGGATCTATTTCTGTCCTAGGAGTTTATAAAATAGTTTGTAGCACGTGTTCAAAGAAGATAAAATAATTGATTTTCATTCTTTTGCATATTAAGATGGTGATGGAATTCCCTGACAATGTGTTAAATCTCGATGGGCATCAAAATAATGGTGCACAACTAAAGCAGTTTATTCAGGTAATATTTTTTAAACTTAATGTTTTAAATGGTGTGTGTGTGTGTTTTGAAGAGTCATTTAAAATTTTAGCTTTAAGTATTAGTTTCATTTTACCTGGGGCTCTCTAGGTCTTAAGATTGCACTGAAATTGCTTTCTTTCACTGTTGCTGTAGTGAATATATTTATGTACCTGTTATGTGAAAGAGGTTTGGTGGTGGTGTGTTATCACTGTACATGTGCCTATGGCTTTAATTTCACCAAGCCATCTTTCCCAGTTTTTGAAAGATAAGATGTACAGCTTTTCATTAAGAACGTGTTGGTTTTCTTCTGTAGTGATTGTTTTGTTCAAGAAAAAAAAAAAAAAAACTTGTACTATGAACTTTATGATTTTTATTTAATTTTTAAGCAATAGATACCTTATAAAACCCTGTATGTAATCAAGATAATGGAAGGTAAATTGCTATTTCACTTCAAAATTCTATTTCTCCTTTTGGAGAAAACTTTGAGTGAAAGGTTAATGGTAAATGTGAGAAAATTCTTGGGAGTATCTTACCCATCTTTTTTGGTAAAGCTAGAAACACTATTTGTAGTATAACTAACTCCATCCAGATAGAAGTTACTTACTAGAGTTTTGCCCATTTCTCTACAGCTGTGGTTCTCAGTCATTTTTCTACCTGATTGTCATAACCAACATAACATTCATATGCACCACCATATTACTTACTCACTGCAGGCTTCTACATAGGTAAGATAGGCCTTGTTCTCTCCCACTAATCTGTAACACACCTGTCCATACCTCCACGTTGAGAATTGTTGCTTTACATGATCACCATCCTAACTTGATTCCAGTAGCTAAACATAATGCGTTGGTAATTGAGAGGAAGACATGGCAAAGCTGTATTCCATCTTTATTTTTTTCTTTGTTTTAAAATTTTTTTTTTTTTTAAGATTTTATTTATTTATTTGAGAGAGAGAGAATGAGAGACAGAGAGCATGAGAGGGAGGAGGGTCAGAAGGAGAAGCAGACTCCCTGCCGAGCAGGGAGCCTGATGCAGGACTCGATCCTGGGACTCCAGGATCATGACCTGAGCCGAAGGCAGTCACTTAACCAGTTAGCCACCCAGGCGACCCTAAAAATTTTTTTTAAATTTTATTTATTTGAGAGAGAGAGCAGAGATAGCGACAGAGATAGCACGAGAGAGTATGAGCGGGGAGGAGAGGGAGAAGCTGGCTCCTCGCTGAGCAGGGAGCCCAATGTGGGACTCAATCCCAGGACCCTGCCGTCATGACCTGAGCTGAAGGCAGATGCTTAACTGACTGAGCCAACCAGGAACCCTAAAATTTTTTTTTATTTCAAGTGAGCATACTAAGCTTAATAGTCACTGACCAAACTAAATTTCCAGAGGCAGGGCTTCTTTTTGCTATGCTGAGGCACATACTGCTAGCCCTGACATCCTAAGCAGAGTTTTGTTTTGTTTTAAAGATTATTTATTTATTTATTTATTAGAGAGCGAGAGAGAGTGCAAGCAGAGGGAGCGGCAGGCAGAGGGAAAGGGAGAAGCCGACTCCCTGCTCAGCAGGGCGCCCCATGCGGGGCTCGATCCCAGGATCCTGGGATCATGACCTGAGCCAAAGGCAGACACTTAACCGTCTGAGCCACCCAGGCGCCCCAAGTTTTTTAGACCTCAGATGCTAGAACAGAGGGCTTTGTGGAGCAAACAGTACAGCTTGGGCAAGGCCGACTTGTTTTTCTGACTCCGTTGTAGATAGAGATGGCAAGTCCTGCCCATATTGTACTTACTACACAAAGACAGGAACCAGAAGTAGTAATGAAGAGAAATTTTATGTCTTTTTTAAGGACTGTTCTTCATTTTTCTTTTCCTCTTTCTCAGCGACATAGCATGCTTAAGCAGCAAGATCTAAGTATTGCCATGGTGGTGACATCACGTGAAGTATTGAGTGCACTTTCTCAGCTTGTCCCATGTGTTGGTTGTCGTCGCAGTGTGGAGCGCCTCTTTTCCCAGCTTGTAGAGTCTGGAAATCCTGCACTTGAACCCCTGACAGTAGGGCCCAAGGGAGTCCTATCTGTAACTCGAAGCTGCATGACTGATGCAAAGAAGCTTTATACCTTATTTTATGTACATGGGTAAGTGTAATCAATGGGGGTTAGATGACTTTGTTAAAAATTTTTAAACTTTGTGACAGTGGTAGCTCTTTTACTAAATTTGGTAGTGGCAAAGCTTGATTTCAAAATCAGTAATTTTATTGAGTATCTTCTGTGTGTCAGTGACTATATATATTGTTCTCATATGGAGAGAGGCAGGCAGTAGGCAAATACATGATTTGTCCAGTAAGTTATAAGTAAGGGAGATGAGAATGGTTGGGTGGAATTGATACGGAGGATGGTCAGGGAAGGCCTCTGTGATAAAATGACATTGAGTGTAGACTTGAGTAAAGTGAGTAAGTAAACCTTGTAGATATCTGGGGGAAGGCTCAGGAGGAGGAGCAAGTGTAAAGGTTCAAAGGTTGGAGTTTTCCTGGCATGTTTGAAGAACAGTAAGGAAGCCATTGTGGCTGGAGCCAGATGATTGAAGGGAACAGTAATAAAAGATGAGATCAGAAGAGTCATAAAAGGCCTACTTACGTAGTGCCATCCTGAGTTTTTTGTTACTGTTGGTTTTTTTTACTCTAAGACGGGAAGATTTGGGAGTGTTTTGAGCAGAGGAGGGACGTGGTCTGACTTGAACACCTCTGTGTTGAGAATAAGTGGAAGGCAGAGAAACAAAGGCTATTTAATAATCCATGCAAGAGATAATGGTGACCAGTATGGTGGTCACAGAGGTAGTAAGAAATGGCTGGATCCTGGGTATATTTTGAGTAATGAGCCAGTAGTATTTTTGGATAGATTGGATATGGAGGACATCAAGGATGATTCTCAGATTTGGGATCTAAAGAACAGGACCAGTGGTTTCCATTTACTGAGATGGGTAAGAATGGGAGGAGCAATTTTGCAGAGCTCACTTTTGGACGTGTTAGAGATACCATTTGGGCATCCAGGTAGAGTTCACAGAGGTCTGCCCTAGAGATAAAAATTGGTGTCATCAGCATATATATAGTATTTGAATTATAAATAAACTACACACACACACGGACATAATTTAAATCTATGAGATGAGATGGTCATCAGAGACTGAATATAAATAGGAAATGAGAAGGTCTGAAGACCAAAGCCCTGGGTTTTTCTGTTTAGAGGTGATGGTAGAAAGTTAGGATTTTTTAGTGTACCTGAGAAAAGGCTTGCAGGGTTTTTGAACAGAACATAATGTGATTTTTGTTTTGAAAAGATCACTTCAGCTGCTGAGTGAAGCCTAGGATGTAAAGGCAAAGGGTGGGAAGCAAGGAGACCATTTGGGAGGTCAGCTATTGCACTTGGCTAAGCTAGAGAGGTGAGTTGGATATCGATGGTAATGGTGGAGGTGATAAAGGATATGATTCTGGATATATTCAAAAGTTAGAGTTGACAGGCTTTGCTGATTGGTTGGATGTAGGGTGTGGATATTAACTGTACACATTACTATATTTGCATAAAATTTCTGTTGATGGTTCCTCATCAAGGATAGTTTTTATTTAGATATTTTTTGAACGGGAAGATGGCTGAGAGGTAGCAATCAGTCATAAAATATGTGAGTGTCAGACACACTGCTAGATACAATGCAGATACAGGAATGAATGAGACAGATGCAGTCTAGGGGAATGAGTACATTGAATAGAACAGGTCTCTCTCAACATATTGACAGACTGGGAATGGAATGGAGAAGACAAGTGTACAGATTCTTCCCGGTTAGAATTTGTTTGATGAGAAATTTTCAAGGTCAGTGATGTATCTATAATACTTTAAATACACTTTGCACTAAAAGGTAGTAAATAGAGATTTTGAAAGTTCTGAAGAAAAATGAATATTAATCAAAATTTTAATGCTTTATTTTTGATTAGGTCCAAACTAAATGACATGATAGATGCTATTCCAAAAAGTAAAAAGAACAAGAGATGTCAGTTGCACTCCTTAGATACACACAAACCAAAACCTTTGGGGTAAGTAGAATCGACTATCAAGATGCTTTGTAATTGTTAAGATTTAAATGTTGATTGTATTTAGTAAAAAGAAAAAAAACACTGCTAGTTTTATTAATTAGTTACACTACAACATAGGTTAAAATAAATCTGTCTTCCGATTCTATAAGGCCTTTTTGCATTGAGACTGTGTAGGGTCTGAATATAGATTTGATTTTTCTTTTGGAGATTTTTTTTCCTTATATTAAATATGTTTCAGAGGAAGAAAGTTGAGATCTTTATGGATGTTTATTTAGCCAACACTAAGTGTTTCAAAGTAGTGATATCATTATTTGATCTATATATAGTCATAATGTATAAATTATTTTTCTTGTCTTTCTTACCTCTAGGTCTCCCTAATAATTTATCAAGGATTAAAAAAAAGTCTTGGATCAGTTGTAGCAATGTGTATTTATGTAACTAATCTGCAATTTTGTTCTGGTTAGGTGGTACAAATGCAGGAGGCTGCTTTTGCCCCCATCTCCCAGCACATTGTTACATTTGCCCCCTACAAAATTGCTTGAGGTTGCGGGTGGTAAGGAAAAGCCATGGAATTTGAAGGGGGGTTCTAAGAAGTAACTTGTGTTTTGAAGAGAATGGGATGATATAAAACAATACTGGGTTGCTTTAAAAATCAGTTTTTTAATATCTCATTAATAGTGTTGACACCATTGTTGTATAGACCTTTTCCTTCCTGGTAAAAGACCTGGATGACCAGGTGGTGATATGTTAATAATCTATTAACAAGTTTGTTTGTTTTCCTGTACTCAGGAACAAGATTTTTAAAAAATTTTATTATGAAAACTGCCAAACACATAGGAAAGTAGAGAGACTATTCAGGAACCTTCCTTCCTACCAAATATCTTCACCCAGATTCAGTAGTGTTATCAAGATTTGTCACATATGTTTTATTTATCCATCTTTTTCTTTGCTGAAGTATTTTAAAACAAGTCCCAGGCATCATGCTTTTTTACTCCTACATATTTCCACATCTATCTCTAAATACATGGACATTATCTTTCATAACAACAGTGCCATTATAACACTTAACAGAAGTAACTATAATAATCTAATACCCAGTTTAGATTTCCACAGCTTTCTCTAAAAGTGTCTTTTTACATGGATTTGTTAGAATCAGGATCCAGACAAGAACCACAAAGTATATATCTAAATGTGAGAGTACTCTGAACCTTCAGTGAAGCTCTATACAACCTGAAGTGGTTATCAAAAGAAAATTACTTTACATACCTGATTTACCAACATCTTTAGAGAATTCCTGTCTTTCTAAATGTAAAACTCAGTCTAGTTTTCTCATTATACAGTATCTTTAACTGAATGACCTGTTGGCTAAAGCCACAGAGTAGTATCGTATTATAAAAAGCCTGCCTTGTGGTTTTTTTGTTATAAATATTCTTCATTGCAGAACCAAAGAGCAACAGATCTCAGTATCTTACACATCTGCTCATTGTTACCTTCCTTCAAAGACCAGTTCTACTTTTGCTCTGGGTTCCATTTCTTCTTGTTCTCAGTGACTTTGCTTTATTAATTATCTACTTTTGTTAAATTGACATAAGCTATGTTTTCCTAAAAACAAAAACAAACCTCCACAGACTTCACATTCCCCTTCAGCCACAGCACCACCACAAAGCCAAATGTTTTAGGAGGAGGTTTGCTGAATTATGAAATCAGTATGAGTTGATCTGGGGCACTGTCTCCTAAGGTAGCTTCAGTTATTCCCACATGCCATATGGATAGCAGGCCAGGGAGTACAGTGTGCTTAGGCAAGACTCCCTCTCCTCCACTTTGGATGGCCACTGCCATTGTATGATACTGTGACTCTCCATTTTACGTATTTCCACTGTTATTCCCCCCCTTTCTCTGTTTAGACTTTCTCCAGGGAAGTGTTAACAATTGATTAGGTTTCAACCTAATCAATGGCAGCAATCCAGCTCAGCTTTCCTGAGAGTTCTTGTATCCATGCAAGTAACCCCAAGTTACTGGCTGCCTGGGAGTAAGTTTGAGATCCAGAAGAAAAGTCTGGGCTACATTTGTAGGCCTGTTGCTGATAACTGAAGATTATCTTAGAGAATAGTATGTCACATCTGTCTGGAGAGAGAGTAAGAAGGAAGAATGCTGAGGAATTCATTCAGTTTATTGGTAGAAAAGAAGCTAGTAAAGAAACTTGGGAAAGAGTGGCCAGAGAGGTAGGAGGAAGCCAAGGGAAAAGAGTGTTTCATGGGGGTCTGTCTGGTCAGCTGTGTTGAATGCTGCTGAGTCATCAAGGACCCAGAAGTGTCCATTGGATATAGCAACACTGTGATAATTGGTAATCTTGATGACCAAATCTGTGGTTGAGTGGAAACAATTCAGATCAGAATGGGTAGAAAAGTGATTGCGATATAACGTTGTAGTGGATTAAGCTGTGAGAGGAAAGTACGGGAGTGGAAAGACTTCTTTTTCAGAAAGCTTGATCTTGAAGGAATGATATAAAGACAGTTTAGAGAGGTTATGGATAAAATCTTGATTTGAACTACAGCATTTTTTTTAAAGGATTAATGCTCTCATGTTCTGATGATATAATAATCATTCCCCAGCTCTGATTTCATGAACCTTTTCCTCAATTGTGAGAACTTGGGTTTGAGAGTTGATCAGTTTTAGGAGATTATGGATCACTCAAGCATAATTAGAAAAAGAGGAAATATGGGCGTTGAGAGTAGAAGGATAGAACATGGAAGTCAGAGGAGTGGTAGAGGTCTTTGTTTCAAATTAGAGTGCTGAACCTTGCTTGAGCCCTTGTGACAGGGAATAGGGAGTTGAAATGTACGGATGAACTTAAAATGGTGGGCAGGGAGTTGAGAAATACCTGTTTAGCTATATAGAGTAGGTTAAGTAAAGATACAGAGGTTTTTCCATCTCAAGCATCCAAGGTAATGAATTTCTAGGGCTGCAGTGAGACCTGCAAAGGAATAGGCAGGAGCCAGTTGTTCAGAATCATGAAATAATCAAGAAGAATATCATTGAATGGAATAGAGACACACATTTCTCTTGGAATTTACATCTGCAACAAAGCAAAATGCATGACCAGCACTACATTGAAACCTGTGGGGGAGGGAGAGTCTGGGAAGTTTTTAGTAAGTTTTTAAAAAATTCTTTATATAGGGGCGCCTGGATGGCTCAGTTGGTTAAGCGACTGCCTTCGGCTCGGGTCATGATCCCAGGGTCCTGGGATCGAGCCCCGCGTCGGGCTCCCTGCTCGACGGGAAGCCTGCTTCTTCCTCTCCCTCCCCTGCTTGTGTTCCCTCTCTCGCTGTCTCTCTCTCTCTCTGTCAATTAAATAAAATCTTTTAAAAGTAAATAAAAATTATATAGTATTTATTACTGATATAGGCAGTGTAAAGTGTTCATCTTAGTGTGCTCTCTTTAATTCAGTAAGTGTAAAAATTTGTTTACTATAATTAGATTAATCTGATTTTTTTTTTTTCCTCAGCTACTTATAAATGTGAAGGTAGAGAAGAGTTGTTGCCATGGGTTAGATATAAAACCACATTAAGTAGATCAAAACTTTTTAGAATTTTCAATTTGTGGACGATTGATCCATGTTTATAGGTGAAAATGTTGTTTTTCTAGTTCTGTTGACTTTAAAGCATTCCAAGTAGATTTGCTCATAAAATGCTTAGTATTTTAATGAGTTGGTATCTTGATAAATGTAAATGTTGTTAAATTGTGTCAAATAAGCTTAATAAGTTGAGCAGAAATTTTTATGTAAAGGTATGAGCATATGTTTAAATAGTATTTAATATGGTTAAAATGAATATGTAATTATATACAAATTTGTAAACTTATTCTACTACTGTAAATGTATTAAAGAGTTGATGATTTTAATTTAGACTATAGAAATTATGCCTTCAGATCATCTCTGTCACTAAGCTTTGTACTATACTGTACTGCAGTGAAGGGAGCAGTAGCAGTGTCAGTTCAGAGAAGTTAAGTACAGATAAGAGAAGTAGTGAAGACCACAGGAAGGACAGCAAGTGTAGGATCATTTTCCATTATGGACCTTTCCAGGGAACAGCCAGGTAAAATCAAGCAATCCTTTACTCTGCCTTTTTTAATGTTTTACCCTTATCTATTCCTCCTTTCACTAGTATTTGTTTCTTTCTGCAGAGGTTGTTGGATGGACGTATGGGAACTAATGTCCCAAGAATGCAGGGATGAAGTAGTTTTAATTGACTCTAGTTGTCTTTTAGAAACACTAGAAACATATCTGCGAAAACACAGGTAAGTCTAAAGGTCATCACATTATAGTTGGAAGGTGCCTTAGTGCTCTCTCAGTCATCCAGATCGACCTGTTACCTCCTTCATATAACAGCACTCCAGTCTTCCCATTAATACCTGCTGCTGGGCAGAGCTTAATGTTAGGGTAAGCAGTTTCTTTATGGGATGACTCTCAGTGTTAGCCTTCTTGTGTTGAGCCGGCATCTCCTCTTTTTGTAATTTTTACCTCTTGGTTCCCGGCCAGTAAAGTGTACTTAATTGAGTAAAGTGTGCTTAATCACTTTGGAAACTCTATAGTGTTTCTTGTTTTTATGGTAGAAGCATTTCATGTTGTCATTTTCAAAATTAAAGTTTAAATTAGCAGCTTTCATTTAGTAATATTTTGAAAGATTTCTTCTATAATTGTCAAGACCTAAAAATAGAGTTGGAATTTGTGTGGTTCGTGTACTAAAAAAGTAACTTTAGGTTTTTCTTTTTAGAAAAATAGAATTTTTTTTTTAAGATTTTATTAGAGAGAGAGTGCACAAGCGGGGAGAGGGACAGTGGGAGAGGGAGAAGCAGCCTCCCCGGTAAACAAGAAGCCCAATGCGGGGCTCCATCCCAGGACCCTGGGATCATGATCTGAGCTGAAGGCAGATGCTTAACCGACTGAGCCACCCAGGTGCCCTACAAAGGAATTTTCTCTAAGTGTCATTAACATTTGGAAATGTGTAGGGAGGGAGAGTGCAGTAGGAAAGGAAACTGGTAAGGGAGCTATCTAGAGATGGTGTTCTTGCGGGGAGCTGTACTCTTTTAATATAAATTCATCAGTTATTTGGTATGTGATTGTGTGTTCGTTGATGTGGGACGTAAATATTTACTTTGGGGAAACTTCTAGAAAACATACGTGAATGATAAAAACTAGCATTATCAAGATTCGTGTTTATATGGCAATGAGCTAATGACTTAATCTGCATACTAAGTTTATTCAGTGTTTTTCTTTTTTCAGTTACAAACTTTCATGTTTAATTGCCTTTTTGGTTGATTATACCCAAGAGAGTAGAGAATATGTCAAATATTTGTAGTTTTGTTGGAGAGGGATTATACCGACAAAAAACATATTTAAATATGTAGGTCCATTATAGATTCCTTCCTCTTTCAATATGAATTGATCCTTATATTCAATATTAATTGGTCCATCCAAAAGATAACTTTTTGGGCTGATAAATTACTAGTTATAAGAGCTAATGTTTAGGAGTTTCCTATAATGGTTGTAGGTGCTTCCTGTATTTGGATGGCAGTATTTTATGCCTATAAGAAGGTGGAGTCTATTTGATAAATACCTGAAGGGTGGGGAGAAGTACGATTAAGAGAGATTGCTTTGGGGCGCCTGGGTGGCTCAGTTGGTTAAGCGACTGCCTTCGGCTCAGGTCATGATCCTGGACTCACAGGATCGAGTCCCGCATCGGGCTCCCTGCTCAACAGGGAGTCTGCTTCTCCCTCTGACCCTCCCCCCACTCATGTGCTCTCTCTCTCACTCTCTCTCTCAAATAAATAAATAAAATCTTTAAAAAAAAAAAAGATTGCTTTGAATCTGGGTTCTACTGATTATAATTTTGTACAAGTTACTTGACTTTTCTTTGCCTCCATTTTTTTCTTAAGACAAAAATAATGATAGTACTGATTAATCGTAGGATTAAATTTGTCATGGGGATAGACGATACACAGTCAGGCTTACTTAGAACAGTATCTGGCTGGGAATGCAAGCTGGTGCAGCCACTCTGGGAAGCAGTATGGAGGTTCCTCAAAAAGTTGAAAATAGAGCTACCCTACAACCTAGCAATTGTGCTACTGGGTATTTACCCCAAAAATACAAATGTAGTGATCTGAAGGGGCACCTGCACCCCCATGTTTATAGCAGCAGTGTTTACAATAGCCAAACTATGGAATAAACCCAGATGTCCATCAACATGAATGGATAAAGATGTGGTATATATACACACTGGAATATTACGCAGCCATCAAAAAAAAAAAAAGAAATCTTGCCATTTGCAACGATGTGGATGGAACTAGAGGGTATTATGCTAAGTGAAATAAGTCAATCAGAGAAAGACAATTATGATACGTGGAATTTAAGAAACAAAGCAGAGGATCATAGGGGAAGAGAGTTAAAAATGAAACGAGATGAAACCAGAGAGGGAGACAAACTAGAGACTCAGTGTTAGGAAACACACTGAGGGTTACTGGAGGGAAAGGGGCTGGGGGGATGGGGTAGCTGGGTGATGGACATTGGGGAGGGTATGTGTTGTGGTGAGCGCTGGGTGTTGTGTAAGACTGATGAATCACAGACCTGTACCTCTGAAACAAATAATACATTATATGTTACTTAAAAATAATAATAATTAAAAGTATATATAAATAAAATGTGAATATATATATAAAATTAAAAAAAAAGTATCTCGCACATAGTAAGCACAGTAGTGAATGTTTTCATGCCAGATTTGCAAGGTCTTGTTATTCCTATGTATCTAGTTCTTGTTTTAGGTCCAGTTTGAGTTTTTGAGGTCCGTATAATCAGCTGAAAATGATTTCTAAATGTCTGAATAATGGGGGCACCTGGGTGGCTCAGTCGGTTAAGTGTCTGCCTTCAGCTCAGGTCCTGGTCCCAGGGTCCTGGGATCGAGTCCCATATCGGGCTCCCTGCTCAGCAGGGAGTCTGTTTCTCCCTCTCCCCGTGTCTGCTGCTCCCCCTGCCTGTGCACGCGCGCACTCTCTCTCTCTGTCAAATAAAATCTTTAAGAAGAATGAGTAATGTACCTTTTTGGCAGTTTCTGTTTTATTTAGTGGACTTTTCTGAGTACTTTATAATAAAGATTTGATGGGGAACTGGGGTGGCTCAGTCTGTTAAGTGTCCAATTCTTGATCTCAGCTCAGGTCTTGATCTCAGGGGTGTGAGTCCAGGCCCTGTGTTGGGCTCCATGCTGGGCGTAGAGCCTATGTATAATAAAGATTTGATAACACTAGCCAGTTAAGTATTATGGTAGTACATGATTAGAAATAAAGTGTTAAGAAACTGAAACCTCTGCCTTAAAAAATGTTTTTTACATTTATGTGCAAGGTTACTTTTGAAAACATGAAAAATCAGTTTCATTCTTACTGCTTCCATATAGTATTTTTAAATTGCTGTTTACTTATACTTATTATGATTATGTACAAAGATACATTAAACTGAGGATTTAAAGTAGTAAAATAAGGGCGCCTGGGTGGCTCAGTCGTTAAGCATCTGCCTTCAGCTCAGGACACGATTCCAGGGTCCTGGGATCGAGCCCCGCGTCGGGCTCCCTGCTCTGCAGGAAGCCTGCTTCTCCCTCTCCCACTCCCACTCCCCCTGCTTGTGTTCCTGCTCTCGCTATCTCTATCTCTGTCAAATAAATAAATAAAATCTTTTTTAAAAAAATTTCGTAAAATAAGGGGAAAATATTTCAAGTTTTATTATTGTTACTGTATGACATCTAACCATTTATTTACCTGAAAATGTAAACTTACCTTTTATAACCTGAAAACATGGAAGTATTTGTTATTTCTGCATCGAAGTCTTTCTTCTCCCCCTCAAGGGGAAGACTTTTTTTTTTTTATTGTGGTAAAAAAAACATAAGTTTACTTCTTAAACAGCTTTTAAGTAAACACTACATTACTATTCACTATGCACATTGTTGTACAGTAGATCTCTAGAATTTTTCATCTCGCATGATTGGAACTACACCCATTGAACAACAATTCCCCGTTAACCCCTTGACCCACGCCCTGGCAACCAGAGTTCTGTTTTCTGTTTTTATGAATTTGATTATTTTAGATAACTCTCATATGTGGAATCATTCAGTATTGGTCTTTTTGTGATTGGCTTATTTAACTTAGCATAAATCCGTGCTGTAGCATATGATGCAGAATTTTCTTCCTTTTTTAAAGCTCCGTAATAGTCCCATTTGTGTATATACCACATTCACCTATCAGTGGACATTTGGTTGTTGCCCCTACATCTTAGCTATTTGTAATGATACTACAGTGAACATGAGTGTGCAGGTATCTCTTCTTTTGGCTATATACTCAAAAATGGGATTGCTGGATCATATGATAGATGATAGTTCTGTTTTCAGTTTTTTTTAGGAAATGCCATACTCTTTGCCATTATTGGCAGCACTATTTTACAGTTTCAGCAACAGCAGTGTCAAGGGTTCCAGTTTCTCTACATCTTTGCCAACACATGTTGTTTCCTATTTTTTTAATAGTGGCTATGCTAACAGGTATAAGGTAGTATCATGTGGTTTTGATTTGCATTTCCCTGATGATTAGTGATGTTGAGCAACTTTTCATATGCTTGTTAGCCGTTTGTATATCTTTGGAGAAGTGTCTATTCATATCTTTTGCCCAATTTTTAATTTTTTTCGTTATTATTGAGTTGTAGGAGTTCTTTATAAATTCTGGATATTAACCACTTACGCAGTATATGGTTGCAAATATTTTCTCTGTGGTTGTCTTTCACTCTCTTGTTTCCTTTGCTACACAGATTTTTTTTTTTTAAGATTTTATTTATTTATTTGACAGAGACACAGCAAGAGAGGGAACACAAGCAGGAGGAATGGGAGGGGGAGAAGCAGGCTTCCCACTGAGCAGGGAGCCCGATGCGGGACTCGATCCCGGGACCCTGGGATCATGACCTGAGCCGAAGGCAGGCGCTTAACGACTGAGCCACCCAGGCGCCCCGCTACACAGAAGTTTTAAGTTTGATGTAGTCTTACTTGTCTATTTGCTTTTGTTCCCTGTGCTTTTGATGTCCTATCCAAAAAATCATCACCTATTCATTGTCATGAAATTTTTCTTCCTGTATTTTCTTCTAAGAGTTTTGTAGTTTCAGGTCTTAATGTTTAGGTCTTTAATCCATTTTGTGTTAATTTTTGTATATTTCTGTGTTATTTGAAGCATTAGTGAAACTGATTTAACTTGTCAGCATTATTGCCTGTGTTTACTAAGTGGGTTTAGGGACTGTATTAACATATATTCATTTCAAGAAACATACTTAGAGGGGCGCCTGGGTGGCTCAGTCATTAAGCATCTGCCTTCAGCTCAGGTCATGATCCCAGGATCCTGGGATCGAGCCCCACATCGGGCTCCCTGCTCCACGGGAAGCCTGCTTCTCCCTCTCCCATTCCCCCTGCTTGTGTTCCCTCTCTCGCTATGTCTCTCTCTGTCAAATAAATAAATAAAATCTTTAAAAAAAAAAAAAAGAAACATACTTAGATGTGTGCATCAAACTAATGTGTGGCAGTATAAGGGTAAATGCAGTAGGAAGTGTAAATTGCAAATATAGGAACACAGGGGAAGGCTGAATTCTAGTTACAGGAATTGCAGAATGCGTCTTTAAGATGGACATGATTTAGGCAAATGGAGCAGGATCTGGAAAGGGGTGGGGAGGAAGCAGAAGAAACAAGACTTTGAAGTAGGGACACATCTGCTATGTTCACAGTAGTCCATTGTCTGTATGGTATGTGTACAGGAGCAGGGTAAATTGCCTAGGCAGGGGGAATTGGAAAGAAGACCTATAAGAGATGTAAGAAATAACTGATACCAGTTGGCTCCACGCCTAAAAGAGGATCTAAGAAGTTGGGAGTTAACTGAGGTTTTCTTCCTGGGTGACTGTATGAATGGTGGTGTTCTTAACAGGTTTGTAAGGGAACATTCATGTTGCCCTTGGTTTTGGAGAGGAAGTTTAACATGTTGCCTATTGTACATCTATGATGTCCCCGATTTTTCAGTATGGGTTTAGCCCTCAGGCAAAGGCAGAAGACTTGAACAAGAGCTGTAGAGGTGAGAAGTACACATGTTGGCTGAAGCCATTGGAATAGAAGAGGTCACCTAGAGAGATGAATTTAAACTAAAGAGATTGAAATTTCCTCATTCCACCACAGCTGATCTTCTCAGAGATGCAGTTATTAATTTTATGAGCCTAGCATTTTTATCAGACCAGGTTGTTTCTTGTTTCAGGAAATCAAAGCTAAAGAAACAAGGCTCTGTTTTTTTTCTGATTGAATAATGTTTGGTTTCTAAAAGAAAATGTCATCATCCTCTACATTCACACTCTCTTCTACACTTTTTTTCTCTTCTGCTTTTGCCGCTGAAATTTAGACTACATTTCTATGTATATATTGTCAATATTATGATTGTGTATTTTTTTTAAGAAGAAAATTTTTTGGAAGTTATTAGTAAACTAAAACTACATGTGCGACTTTCCTGTTCTTCTTGCCCCATTATCTAGTGAGGTGTTAAAATGTTGTAGCAAAATTTGGACCCAAGGTTTACTGATTGAAGATAGCTATTTTCAGAGGCTAAAAGGAGAGGGATTCTTTGAGTCACTGGTTTGTGGTCTCTTGTTTTATTTCCGACTTGTACAAATAGCTCTTGAGGTGGAGATACTCTAGTCCTTGGCAACTATTTTCTGGACGTATATTTTATGAATGAGCAGGTATATATCCATCTCATTCTTTTAGGTCCACATATCTCTCTCATTTAAGAATCATTTGCAAATGGAGATCTAGCTATACTCTAATCCCTAAATTTGTATTTCTCTTACATGTGTATGTTTTAAATGTGTGTTTGGAGGATTTTTTTAAATACTCCACATGGTAGGGGAGTGTCATTGTCTAGTACACTGTTAGTTTCATGAAATAATTACGCAGCAAGTTCTTAATTTTGAAGTTTTTCTTTTCAACAGGTTTTGCACTGATTGCAAAAATAAAGTCCTCCGAGCATACAATATCCTTATTGGTGAACTTGATTGCAGCAAAGAAAAGGGCTACTGTGCTGCACTTTATGAAGGTTTGCGGTGCTGTCCACACGAGCGGCACATACACGTTTGCTGTGAAACAGACTTCATTGCACATCTCTTGGGTCGTGCTGAGCCAGAGTTCGCAGGAGGGTATGAGTATGTAATTTGCTAGAATGGGCTATCTAGCGCTTTGCTTCATTTTATTACTGAAAGTTTATTTCCATCACCTTTTGCCTCAGTACATATGATATATGTATCAATTAAAGTGTGCCTGTAAAGATTTTGCTTTCTTTAAAGTATGCATTTCTTAATTGACTGAGTAAAAATAGGTAGGGAGAAAGTGTTGTGTTCATTTCAGCCCTCTGCTCCTTGTTGCTTGAAGTAGACAGGCTTTTTTTTGGCTTTCATTATTATAGATTATCATTTTCATTTGAAAATGATTAGAAGGGATTTTCCCCCCTCCATCCATGCATTTCCATGTTTAAATTTTGTTCATAATGATGGTTTTTGCATAGGAAGGAAGGTCTTTGCAGCAGGGGGTTAAATACTTTATTGACTGTAATTCATGAACTGTATATATTATTATTGAATTGCGTAAGAACCTAAAATTTTATCTCTGGCTTTATTATGAAAATAAAATTCAGAGAAAGTTGTTCTAGAATAAATTGAACCCATTTTTCTTTGTGTTTTGTATATCAGCTCTCATTTGAGTGCCTACTTTCTGCTAGGCATTTAGAACGTGAAGACTTATCACTGAAATTCTGTGAACACTTCTACTGAAGACTAGCCTGGAGGGCTTTTGTCCATGATTGAATTGGCATTTCTCCATTCCCCCTCAAAAAAAAAAAAAAAAGAAAGAAAGAAAGAAATAAGGCATTTGTTATAATAGGTGAAAGGAGCTGTCATGCCTACCTCTGAGCTGGACACATATATGACTTCTCTGTGCCCAAAAAACCATCTCTTCAGGGCCAGTTCCTGAATTACCTTATTTTTAGCAATATTAGGACTGAGTTCTGCCTGCATGTGTATTTCTTATTGGTTATATACATGTGTGCTTGTATGTTTATGTGTATATTGAATTTGAATGTATAACTGGCTTGTTATTAGATATGCAAATTGTGTTTAAAACCTGAACTTAAGTCTTACCTGTCTTTTACTGTTACGGTAAAGGGTATTAGGAATTATGTGTGATTTATTCTCCTTTACAGGCGAAGAGAAAGGCATGCTAAGACAATAGATATAGCTCAAGAGGAAGTTCTGACCTGCTTGGGAATTCATCTTTATGAAAGACTGCATCGAATCTGGCAAAAACTACGAGCAGAGGAGCAAACATGGCAGATGCTTTTCTATCTTGGTGTTGATGCTTTACGAAAGAGTTTTGAGGTAAGAACGGTGGGCTGCTTCAGTGTCTAAGATTGCTTAGTCACATTATTAGACTGAATGTTAATATAAGCCACCAGTCTGATTTTGCCTCAGAGGCCTGTGATCCACTGATAGTGTAATGGATTTGGAGAGGTTCGGGAAGGAGAATTGGAATCTAGAAGTTGTTTGTGGGTTTTTCTTAGTTTTTTAATCCTCTTATTCTGCCAACTTTGTTTTTAGACTTTCTCAGAGTAGAAAACTGAAGTTGATGATTATTTAGCAAGATGTTGCTATCAAATATATCTAATGAAAAGTTAAAAGCAGTCCCAAAATAAGCAATAAAATTAGAAACCTTTAATGAGTCTCAGCTTGCCTGCTGATGTCCAGTAGCTTCTTTATATTGCTGTATTGGGTTTAGTGCTTATGATTTGGTGACTTTTTTTTTTTTTTTTTTTTTGGTTCTACTCTCAGCACATAAAATAATTGGCTAGTGAACATTTTGTTACATTCTAGGGCATGGTCGTAACTCTTTAACTGGGTCACAGATCCCTTTTGAGAAGAGTATGAAAGCTATAAACCCTTTTTTCAGAAGCCCATCCATGAGCTTAAACATTGTTCTGGGGAGTCTGAGGAGATTTGTACTAGTTCTTGCTGAACACATTTCTGTTTCTTTTCTCTCTGTATGTTTGTGACTTCAGAAACTAGATCATCTAATCAGGTTAAATAGTCTTCTCATTGTGTGAAGAAATTAATGTTTACTCGCTGCATTAAAAATTTTGAAATTTGAAACTAGAATATTGCTGGTTTGGAATAGGAGTGTGTATAAGTCTGGCTTTCCTGTAGGGATTAGTGGTATATTCACTTGCTGTGGATTTTAAGATGTCATCATTTAAAGTATTAAAATTGAAGATTCTTTATGGGGATGCCCTGTAGAATTGCAACATGAATTACCTGTCTGTGTGTGGTATCATTTAAAATTAGCAAGTGAGGGGGGCGGAAATTAGCAAGTGAGGGGCACCTGGGTGGCTCAGTCGGTTAAAGGTCTGACTCTTGATTTCAGCTCAGGTCTTGATCTCAGTCGGGGTCGCGAGTTCAAGCCCCGAGTTGGGCTCCATGCTGGGCATGGAGCCTACTTAAAAAAATAAAATAAAATTAGCAAATGAGAATTTCCATGGAAAATAGAGGAAGTTTTGACCAATATTCATTCTCAACTTTGTTTTTATAATAGATGACTGTGGAAAAAGTACAGGGTATTAGCCGATTAGAACAACTTTGTGAAGAATTTTCAGAGGAGGAACGAGTAAGAGAACTCAAGCAAGAAAAGAAACGCCAAAAACGGAAGAATAGACGAAAAAATAAATGTGTATGTGATATTCCTACTCCCTTACAAGCAGCAGATGAAAAGGAAGTAAGCCAAGAGAAGGTAATATTCCTTAATTTTGACTCATAATTATGTAGTATTGCTTTTTGCTAGATTTTGGCATTTTTACTATGCTTTTCCAGAATGTGAGGAGCTGCAGCTTGTGTATTGGCTTTTTTCCTACTACAAAGCCAAAATTTTTAATGTCTTGTATTCATTTTATAATGTTCAGTAGTTATCTTTTTACCTGATCTTAGCATGTTGTTAGATCAAATGTGGAAAGTTAACTCCATGCATGACCTAGAGCAGTTCTTTTTGGCCTCAGGATCCCTTTGCATTCTTAAAAATTACAGTGCCCAATGTGCTTTTTGTTAAATTTACTGTATTAGAAATTAAAGTGGATAAATTTAAAATTACTAGTTTTTAAAAAATAATGTAAGCCGTATTATACGTTACCATGAATAACATTTTTTGAAAAATGTCACCGCCGCCCCCAAAAAAAGAAGTGAGAAGAGTGGCATTATTTTATATTTTTACAGATCTTTTTAATATTTGGTTTAAAAGGAATTAGATGGATTCTCATATCTGCTTCATTTAGTCTATTTCCATATGTTGCTTGGTTGAAGCATATGAAGAAAGTCTGGCCTCACACAGAAAAGGGAGGAATATTTTAATATAAACTTTTTCAGATAGTTGTGGCTATTCTTTGGCATTACAACTTAACAAGTGGTAGTTTCTTAAAGATTAGTTATGATGTGGAACCTGGCACCTGTAAATGACCTTTTCATAACTCAGTTAAATTAAAATCCATTATTCAGTCTTGCACTTTGAATAGATCTTTTACTCATGCATGATTCTGTAACATCATGCATTGGTCATTTGAAAGATACAGGTTTACTGAGTTATGCAGATCTTGCCAGATACTGACATTTCATTACATAACATCACATAATCATGTTAAAACCACTACTGATCTCATCAGAAAGGTCTTTAAGTATTGGGAAGCTTCAAGCTCATTGTGCTTGTGTATACAAGTTTTCAAAATTCTGATTGTGATTTGAAAGTTTGAATTTTATCACTGACAACAAATACTGTCCATTGTTTTCCTTGAGGTGATGGGCTGATTTCATTTTTGAGAAAATTTCTTTTAAGTGTCTGAGTCTGAATAACCACGGTTTGTCTCTCATGCTTTCAAGTAAAATTAATGTTCCAGGATAAAAAACACCTAGTTCAGTTTATAACTCAAACAGTTGCTCAAGTGCTCTTCCTTGAGACAACCGTTGTACTTTGGTATGCAGCAAAAGTGCGTTAAGCGTACTTCCTGTTTGTCACATAGACTATTAAAAAGGCATCTACTCGTGAGTTGATACTTAATAAAAATATTTTTATTATCTTCACCAAAGAAATTCATAAGTGGAGTATCTACTTACTGATTTCTAAGAGTGCTTGACAAGTAAAGAATATAGTGACTGTTAGTACACTTGGATTGCCACTGCTTTGACTTGTGCTAAGTACCAGCAACTTTTCCCCACCATTGCTTTTGTACTGTCAGTGTAAGTGTCAGTACAGTGAAAAAGGCGATTCGCATCTTGGTATTCTGATGAAAATAGTTTTGACCTAGGAATCAGCAGTCTACACTTTGAGAACTACTCTCCTGGATTTTCCTGATACCGTTAACTCTTAACCTTGCTTTTAGTTGTTTCATAGTCTTGATCAGTGGGTTAGTGATTTTTTCATGAGAATAATTTTTTCAGTTGTTAACCTCTTAGCTCCTAATTAGTTAATGTTAAGGAAATTAAAATGTATCCATTATGAAGGTAAGACTTTTTACTATCCCTTAAAATTGGTCCTTAAAGGAAACAGACTTCATAGAAAACAGCTGCAAAGCCTGTGGCAGCACTGAAGATGGTAATGGTTGTGTAGAAGTCATTGTTACCAACGAAAATACGTCCTGTACCTGTCCTAGCAGCGGCAATCTCTTGGGGTCCCCTAAAATAAAGAAAGGTAACCAAATACAGTTATGTTTTTTCTTTTTTCTTTTTTTTTTTAAGATTGATTGATTTATTTTAGAGAGAGCACGAGCGGGAGGGGCAGAGAGGGAGAATATATCCAGCAGACTCTGCACTGAGCGTGGAGCCTGACGTGGGACTTGATCCCACGACTCTGAGATCATGACCTGAGCTAAAACCAAGAGTCTGATGCTTAACTGACTGCGCCAGCCAGGTGCCCCTCTTTTTTCTTTTTTATGTAGGCTTCATGCTGCCTGTGGAGCTCCAACGTGGGGCTTGAACTCACGACCCTGAGATCAAGTCCTGAGCTGAGATCAAGAGGGCTTGATGCTCAACTGACTGAGCCACCCAGGCACCCCCACCCCCATATTCATTCTTTCTTTCTTTTTTTTTTTTTTTTTTTTAAGATGTAAGAGGTTTTTTGGGGCGCCTGGCTGGCTCAGGCGGTAGAACGTTCAACTCTTGGTCTCAGGGTTGTGAGTTCAAGTTCCACATTGGGGATAGAGATTACTTAAAAAAAAACAAAACTTGAAAAAATTAGAAAATAAATAGAGGTTTTAGAGATCTTATAACTTAGACACTTAATATTTCCTTTTTCTTGGGGCACCTGGGTAGCTCAGTCAGTTATTAATTTGATGAAAACAAAACACCGTAAGCCCATAATCATGTTTTCATTATTTAATTTACTTTCTATTTTCAGTAAGCCATCAGTTTTGAAATTTTTCTGTAGTCTCCAGTTGGTTCACTCTTTGTGTAATATATTTATTGGTATCTTAATTGTAACTCTCAACTGATTTATTCTCAGGCTTATCACCACACTGTAATGGTAGTGATTGTGGATATTCATCTAGCATGGAAGGGAGTGAAACAGGTTCTCGGGAGGGTTCGGATGTTGCCTGCACTGAAGGCATTTGTAATCACGATGAACACGGTAGGTTCAGATTAAGCTTCCCAATTACTTCTACTACACGGCTGATTTAAGCACATAAATGAGATTATTGATTTCTGCAGGTGATGACTCCTGTGTTCATCACTGTGAAGACAAAGAGGATGATGGTGATAGTTGTGTTGAATGTTGGGCAAATTCTGAAGAGAACAACACCAAAGGAAAAAATAAAAAGAAGAAAAAGAAAAGCAAGATGTTAAAATGTGATGAACATGTAAGTGTTATAATTCTTAAACCTTTGCTGTTGAGGGGAGAGCAACCTGTTTTCCTTGGAGTAGCAGCTTAGTTGCTAGTATTTATTATTATTTGAGAATGAGTACCTTTCAAATGCAGTTCCTATTGGTTGCTTTTCTTGTGAGGTTTGTATACATGTGTGTGTGATGTGGTCATTTGACCAGCAGTCCATGTGAGTCATAAATCCAATTCATTCTTTTCATAATACTTTTTTTTTAAGATTTTTTTTTATTTGAGAGAGAGCAAGAGCACGAGTGAGGGGCAGAGGGAGAAGCAGGCTCCCCACCAAGCAGGGAGCTCGATGTGGGGCCTGATCCCAGGACCCTGGGACGATGACCTGAGCTGCAGGCAGACACTTAACCGAAAGAGCCACCCACGCGCCCCACTTTTGTAATACTTTTAAATGAATTAGCTATGTAATCTCGAGCAGTTTGCTTGATATTAGTTGTTCCATCTTTGAGGAGAGAATAGTCCCTATCAGATTAAGTTCTGTGAAGATGAAATGAGATGATATTGATGGGTTAGCATAGCATCTGGTATGTTGTCAGCACCTGCTAAATGCCGGCACTGCTGTTACGCTACATTCCTTCTAAGAAGTTAACACACTCTTGGTTAACAGACTTTTTTTTCCCTTTCTTTAAAGAGCAATTGCTATTATTTCCTGCCTTTTTATCTGGGACATCCTTTGCTGTGCTTTCAGATCCAAAAGCTTGGAAGCTGTATTACAGATCCAGGTAATCGAGAGACCTCAGGAAATACCGTGCACACAGTGTTTCACCGCGACAAGACCAAAGATGCACATCCTGAAAGCTGTTGCAGTTCTGAGAAGGGTGGGCAGCCACTGCCTTGGTTTGAGCACAGGAAAAACGTACCACAGTTTGCAGAATCTACAGAACCGTCATTTGGTCCTGATTCCGGAAAAGGTGCCAAGAGCTTAGTTGAACTCCTTGTAAGTGAGGATATCTTATTGTGAATAACTGATTGCTCTTGGGGTAGATGTGGGAGGGGACAATATTTGAGAATTTAAAGGTGGGACTGGGGAGGCTTTTAAGAAATTAAGGGCAGTCTTTCATTATTTTTGATGACTTCATTTCTGTTCTTCCCCTCATGGCTTATGCAACTGCTCTAGAGCACATTTCCTTGTCCTCCTTTGTCTTCAAGGTAGGAGAGAATAGTTGGGAGAGGGGGATAGAGTTAGCATTATGTCCGGGAGTCTGCCTCCTTGAAGAGGGTTATTTGTAAGCAAACTGCCTTTCTGAGTGGCACTTTATAGTGGCCAGCCTTCCAGACCAGGAAAATATGTAGAATCTGAACTAGAGTCCACTCTTCTAGGTTACTTCCTTTCAGTTCATGTAAGATAAAAGCATAAGTGAACTTGGAAAATCTTTTATATTGACTCCAAGTCTTGATACTTCAGATCAGTTTTGCCTAATTCCAAGCAACCCAGCACATATTTGTGTGCGGCTTGGAGGAGGGGCAGAAAAGAGAAGGGTGGTATATCTTCTCTATAATAGTTCGGCTCCTAATGGAACCAACTCCTTTAGAATAGTTTTTTCTTTTTAACATGGTGGTTAAGTTTCATAAGTTTTTTTTTTTTTTTTTTTAAGATTTTATTTATTTATTTGAGAGAGAGAGAATGAGAGAGAGCACATGAGAATGGGGAGGGTCAGAGGGAGAAGCAGACTCCCCGCCGAGCAGGGAGCCCGATGCGGGACTCGATCCAGGGACTCCAGGATCATGACCTGAGCCGAAGGCAGTCGCTTAACTAGCTGAGCCACCCAGGCGCCCCAAGTTTCATAAGTTTTAAAAAGGTTATATTTTACTTACTTTGTAGAGATAAAAGTTTCAACATAGGACCAGCTGATTAAAAACCAGATCAGTCTGGTTATTTAAAATTTGGGAACTAGTTGTACCATCTCTAATTAGTCATTTTTTAAGGCAAAGGCGTCTGTCAGGCTCATAGGTCTTCTGGGACAAATTATAGATCCAGAGTTTCAAACCGAGTTGAGTTGGATTTTATTCTTACTTAGTACTTTAATGACATGATGCTTGTTCTGTAAACAGTCCAAAGACTTATGTGACTAAATTGCAATTAAAAGGCTAGACTGCCTTAATTTTTAGCTGTCATCCATCGGTATAGTATTTCGCATTCTTAATTTAAATCATAATCTTAACTACTGCTTTAATTTGCAGGATGAGTCTGAATGTACTTCAGATGAGGAAATCTTTATCTCACAAGATGAAATACAGTCATTTATGGCTAATAACCAGTCTTTCTACAGCAATAGAGAACAATACCGACAGCATCTGAAGGAGAAATTTAATAAATACTGCCGCTTAAATGATCACAAGAGGCCCATTTGTAGTGGCTGGTTGACAACGGCTGGAGCAAATTAAATAAATAAAATAGCTCTGTCTTTCAATGAAACACTCAAGATGACTACTGCGCCTTCTCTTTCAAAAACTCTTAATTTAGTGACTTATGGCAAAATTTTACCTTAAATCAATGTGATTCTTTCTTGTTTTGGGAGACGGTGGAGGTAACCTCATTAGTTTGTTCTTTCTTCAGGCTTGTGTCTTTAGTTGCGTGGCTGCGCAGGCCTGCCATATGATTTAAGCCATCTCTCTTCATTAAATGTTTCTCTTCCTGTGAGACTTACTAAAGCAACTTAGTGGCAAAAAGTAATGTTGTACTTATACTTCTGTACAGAAATGACAATGAGCTGAATATATGGTTTTACAAAGTAGACATCCACTTGCGAAATGTTTGGATGTAATGTTAAAGCGCAATGTGCAAAATTTAAAATAAAGAATATTTATTAATATGCATAGTAAAAATTGGTGTACATGTTTCTACTTAATGTGTGGCAGTATTTTAATATTTGCCACTTTTGAACTCGGTACTTGGCCAGTGATGATGTCAGGATGAACTGCAAATGAGGATAGAGTTATAGATTGTTGAGGACAAAATTCTTCCCTTCACCGGAATTGACAGCCAAGAAAAGCAGTTTCCAGTCTTTTGTTTTGAAAGAATAAATGTGCTGCAATACCTTTAAATACTGGCTAGCTAGCATCTTTCTCATGACATTGTTAATTGCTATTACTAAAAATTCTCTGATAACTAACATAAAGCACCTTAAATTCAGAGATTCATAATTGAACTAGAAGAATGAAAACAGAACTTGGCAGAATTTCCATCAAGGGTTGCCTGAGAAGGAATTACTCTAGCATGTAGACCTGGGACTAGAAGGCTGCACCCAGAGCTAACCACATTGCAGTCTGTAAGTGCATGCTCCTTATCTGGTTTCCAACAATAAAGTCACTATGGCATTACAGTTTACTGCTTCCATAAGCTGTCTGTGAGTACTGAAGGAGAGGGATTCCCCCAGGACTAGCATTTGGCTGCCATTTAAAAGGTTGAGTCAGTAGTAAACACATGTGCTTAGAGCTTTGTGTCTGCATGTTGCTAATACTTGGTGGGCAGCAGGCAAAGAGTGGGACAGTCAATACCTCTGTGCAGTGGGGATGGAGTGAATTTTATGGGCTCTCTACTATTTAATCAGATTTCAGGTGGATGACAGCAGAAGCTTAGATTTAATTTTTATAGATGGTGGCATTTCTTTGATATACCCCCTCATTTTTCAAATCTAAGTGTTTTATAGTGATGGGGCAGAAGTAAAATGAGTCTCTCTGACCTTTGTTCACTTTCATTCTGGAATCCAGGAAAAATGACTAAGGATCCCCACAGCCCTGGGCTCTGAGCCCAAACCTCACTTGACCATCTTTGCTGTCAAGTTCTCTCTTATCCCTGAAAGTAAGGGCTGGTCTTATTTTATTTTAATCTTTATCTTTGGGAGAAACACATGAGTACTTGGTGAATGAATAAACAAGCGCATTTACTGCTTATACCATTGCTTGCAGGGGAGGGATTCCTTAGGCAGAGGTGTTTTTTCTTCGGAAGGATGGCTATATTAAGAATGCAGAGGAAAGGAAGGCAGTTTCCAGAGCTTTGATGGAACATCCTGAGAGGTCAGAGAGCAAAGTGAACTCTCCTCTGAGCAAAACCAATAACCCAAGAAGAGACAAAGGGGAGAATGGGGAGAAGGCAGTTGAGGAGCACATCCCCTGGCCTGACTGGACAGTGTGAAGTCCAGACCATGCTTCACCCCTTTCTGTCCGGTATAGTCCTTTATACAATGAAGGCTAATAAGTAGTATCTCAAAGGGCTGTTGTGCATATTTGTTAATATATTTAAAGTGCTTAAAAGTGCCCATTACACAGTAAGGGCTCAATAAATACTAGCTATTGCTTTAATCTTGGGCATACATAGTGATACTTTTGTCTCATTGGGAGTGGGAGGGTCTAGGACAGTTGGAGACAGTAGGCCAATGAACGTGTACTTGGGAATATTTCCATTCTTGAGTTCTCATTCTGGTAACACCGAGGGATCAGGTAGGGTTGAGAGTCTCTCAAGGGAACTGGGCGGTGATAGCTGAGACACAGCCTTTTCTGGGCTGAACCCTTCCCATCAGCCACTGGGGGTGCGGGAGTCACCTTAAGTGCCCGTAATTTCTCTTCCTGACCTTAGGGCTCCGGAACTGGGAAGGGAGACTGAACACGGAGCCGGGGTACGTGCAGCCTCGGGGCTGCAGCAAGCCCCCGCTAAACATCGGCTTCCCGCCCCTATGGGAAGCAGCCCCCGGGACTCTGCCGCGCCGGCGGGCGCCGCGGGAAGCCTGTTTTCCCACCTCCCGCCAGGCTTGGGGCGGGGCCGGAAGGGGCGGGTCACGGGGCGGGACGGCCAGGCCGGGGCCGTCCTCCGGCTGGATGGGGCGGGTGGCGGGGGTGCGGAGGGTGGAGCCCCCGCCCGGGGCCCGGCAGAATGGAGGCGGGTTCAGGCGCGGCTCGGAGCGGGCAGATCGGCGGCTGCCGCTGCTGAGCCCCTGCGACCCTGGGCGGAGCTCCGCGATCCAAATGTCCGGCTCCCGGAGCGAGGTGGGCGGGCGGCTCGGGACCACCGCCAGGGCTGGCATGGAGCGGTGGCGGGACCGGCTGGCATTGGTGACAGGAGCTTCGGGGGGCATCGGCGCGGCTGTGGCCCGGGCCCTGGTCCAGCAGGGACTGAAGGTAGTGGGTTGTGCCCGCACCGTGGGCAACATCGAGGTAAGTTCCCGCCGGGGAGAAGGTCGTTCTGGGAGGCGCCGTTTCCGCCGGGGTAGGGTCTGGGGCGGGGCGGGGCGGGGGGGGGGAGTGGTGACCTGAGCCAGGCTGCGACCCTGTCCTCCCTTGCCCGCCACCCCAAGGCCATTTGCAACGGGATCAGAGTGGGAGGCTTAGATACCTAATAGGACGGGCCTCTCCCTTCCCTTTTATAAAGTCCCGTCTTTGAAGGAGCCCTTACCTACTCCTGACAGACTCTACTCCAGTGTACCAAATCTCTGACTCCTTGGCATCTTTCTCCCTGCCTATCTGCCTGCCCAGGTAGTCTGAGGAAAGGGGAAGCCAGGGAGAAGGAAAGAAAGCTTTCTGGCCTCACGGGCTAAATGGGCTACTGGATTGTTTCCTCGAGTCCCCGGACCTCGCCCACAAAGCAGAGCAAAGTGGCTGGCCAGTCAGATGAACAGGGGCTAGAGGTTTTAATCATGATGATTTTTTACCCAGGACTGAGAGTGGTTTTGGGGTGGGAATGAAGTTTCTCAAAAGAGACTCGCCCTCTCCTTCCTCACCCCCAAATTTGAGGGTTAACCCTTACCCAGGGGGATATTTACAGATAGACCTTTCTCCAATTTCACTGTCCTAGGTGGGACTGAGTAGGTTAAATAAGGTGCAGAATATGTGAGCCCTGAGGGGACAAAGCAGTGTGGAACTGGAACTCCTGGTTTTTCTCTTAACCTGGGGTTGGGAGCCCCGAGATATGAGCACTAAGAGCTCAGAGAAAAATGAAATGAAGTTGGCCATGTTGTAAGAGGAGGGAAGAAGACGAGAAATTTCCATCATAGGTCATCTTTGGATTTGCTCCTGGCAGGAATCACTCTTGGGGTTTGGGCCAGTGCTTAGCAACAGGGCATTATTTTCACCATTGCTCAAAGTCCCTACATAAGGAGGCCTTGTGTGGGGACAGAGGGAGAAGGTGTACCGGAAGGAGGGCTGTCCCCTCCCCTGCTGCTGACCAAAGGTACACTTTATAGCTGCCTAGATGGTCCCAAGGTCACCCCGCTATACCGCTGCCCTACTCTACCCCTCCCTTTCTCCTAATCCGAGGAGCTCTGGGCCCAGCCCCAGCCTTGGAGCCTAGATGATCAGACCAGGACTTACACCACTGGATTCCTTAATTCTAAAGCCACTGTTGCCTTCTCTTTCCTACTCCCCCACCCCAAACTAGCCAGGAGAGGGGTCCCTGAGCTCCAAGGGGATCATCAGGTTGCTCACCCAGCCCCAGGATGACTCCTTTAATGAGATAAATGCCTGTGCTGTGAGGGGACAGACATGGTTTCGGGTCATTTCTAGGATAAATGAGGACAGGTGGGACAATGAGAAAGCAGTGACAGGGAGCAATATGTCCCCCGGCCCTGCAATCTGGCTTTCCTGCGGGGATTTGAGTCTGGAGGTGGAAGGGAGAGTCCCAGGCTTCCTTAGTTTGCTCTTACTGATACTAAAGCAGAGTTTGAGTTCTGGCCTCTGACAGAGAGAAGCCCTATCTCCTGAAGTGGCTGTGAGTAGGTGAAAGGGGGTCAGCGGGGCCTTCTAAGTTCCAGAGGACCATACCTTTTGAACTCTTGGAGAGTTAAGGCAGAAAAGAATCTCTAGGTCACCTGATCCAGCCCTTTATTCCCATCTCGATTTGGGGAGGAAGGGGTTCGAGGCCAGGGCAGCTGGCCAAGCTGGCCTTCCTCTAGGGCACCTCCTACCCCCCAACTCTCTCCCTCCCACACATGTACGGTCACCTTCCCGAGGCTCAGGTGCCCAGTCACTGGCCTCCAAGGCCACACAGCTTGGTTTCTTCCTGCTTCTGAATCTCCACGTCCCTCACAGCCACCTCCCAGTGGCTCTGCTTCCTCCAGTCTTTCTGTCTCAGGGCCCTCAGTGTGCTGAGGTCCCTGTTGATACACTGGGGCTGCAAGTCACCTGCCACCTGACTTGCCTCATCATATCCCCAGAAATTTGGGGGTAAAGGAGGGTACACTGTGGGACAGACGGAAAGAATCTGTCCTGACTTCCTCACCTTTCCTAGAGGTAGGGCGAGGGGAGACTGGCAGTTGGGCCCAACTCAAAAGCCACCCGGCTGCACTCTGTGGAGGGACGGGGACAGTTCAGACGTAGGCTCTCTGGGAGGGACTGGAGGAGGGAAGGGGAGAGGAGAGAATCCCAGAGTAACCAGCTTAGTGACTCATGGCACTGGTGGAAGAAGCATGGGGTGGGGTGAGAGGTACAATTTACCTGTGAGCAGAGCAGGGGTTCCCGTTGGAGGAGAGGCAGAAGAAAGAGAGGTCACGCTATGCCTAGGACTCCTGGCTCCCCTCTCCCTTTTCTGAACTGAAGACTCGAGTTTATCAGGGGATTCCTCCATTGATGATCTCAACTCGCCTGGGCCCCCCTCACTCAGGGGGTGCTCTTAATCCCCTGGACTTTGACCAAAGAGAACCAGTAGTCCCAACATCTATGTGGCTGGAAGGTGGCCGCCAAAGGAGCGAGTTCTGTGAGTGGTGACAGCGGAGGAAGGTTGTCTTGGGCGGGAAGGTGTGGGCATGAGCAGCTCACCCCAGTTAGCCCCCTGTTGGGTTTCATAGGAGCTGGCTGCCGAATGTAAGAGTGCAGGCTACCCCGGGACTTTGATCCCCCACAGATGTGACCTGTCCAGCGAGGAGGATATCCTCTCCATGTTCTCGGCCGTCCGATCTCAGCATAGCGGTGTGGACATCTGCATCAACAATGCTGGCTTGGCCCGGCCTGACACCCTGCTCTCAGGCAGTACCAGCGGCTGGAAGGACATGTTCAGTGTAAGGGCTGCAGGCCTGGAGGGTGGGGCTGGGGGGAGAGTAGGGGAGCCAGGGCTTTGTGAACCAGAGGGCTGCTAGGGGTAGGACATCCAGCAAGAGGGAGCTTTGGGTTCCTACCTGGGGCACCTTGACTCTCCCCTTGCTTCTTTCCCTACCAAAGGCATAGTGAGTGGATGAATGGCCATATCTTTTGTTCTCCTTTCCTTTGAGCCCCTTAAAGGGGCAGTTTTCTAAAGTCCAGGCTGATTTCCTTCTACTGGAAGAAAGACTGGTAGGGAAGAGAACTGTTTATTGAATGCCCTGCATGTCGGCACCATGCTGAGTGCTTGGGAACATGGTCTTACAGGAAGCAAAGGAACCAAGACACAGGAGATGAGGTTCTGACCCAGCCCTGCCAGTCACCCTGTGGCTTCAGGCAGGTGGTTACCCTCTATGAGCTGCAGTCTTGTCACATTTAATTGGGGTGAACACACCTATACCAAAAATATCTAGGGCCCAGGGTCCCCTGGGGCCAGGTCAATACCTCAGTGAGTGAGGTGGGTCAGGTGGAGTGTGCAGTAAATGGGGGAGCACACGGCCAAGTACAAGGGTGGCTGCTGATGTCCCGCATCGCTGCGGTAGGGCAGTGTGGGTCCAGTGTGGCCAGATCTTACAGTTTCTTTGAGAGGAGTGGAGAGCCTGGGTTTTTCTATGACATCCTACCCCTCCCATTTACTAAAACCTCAGCTACACAAGGGGAAGGATTTTTTTTTTAAATTTTTTTTTAAAGACTTTATTTATTTATTTGAGAGAGAGAGAATGAGAGACAGAGAGCACGAGAGGGAAGAGGGTCAGAGGGAGAAGCAGACCCCCTGCTGAGCAGGGAGCCCAATGCGGGACTCGATCCCAGGACTCCAGGATCAGACCTGAGCCGAAGGCAGTCGCTTAACCAACTGAGCCACCCAGGCACCCGGGAAGGATTTTTTTTTAATAAAGATTTTTTATTTATTCATTTGACAGAGATGGAGAAAGCGAGTGAAAGGACGAGCAGAGGGGAGGGGCAGAGGGAGAGGGAGAAGCAGACTTCCTGCTGAGCAGGGAGCCTGATGCGGGGCTCGATCCCAGGACCCTGGGATCATGACCTGAGCCGAAGGCAGACGCCTAACCAACTGAGCCACCCAGGCACCCTAGGGCAAGGATTTTTGTCTGGTTTATCTCTGTTGTATAGCCTCAGCCCATAATAGATATCCAGTAGATACTCAGTAGATTTTTTTTTTTTTTAAAGATTTTATTTATTTATTTGAGACAGAGAGAATGAGAGAGAGAGAGCACATGAGAGGGGGGAGGGTCAGAGGCAGAAGCAGGCTCCCTGCCGAGCAGGGAGCCCGATGCGGGACTCGATCCAGGGACTCCAGGATCTGACCTGAACCGAAGGCAGTCGCTTAACCAACTGAGCCACCCAGGCGCCCCTCAGTAGATATTTTTTGAGTGAATGAAACCTTCCAGTACATGTTGGGAATGAATTGGAAGTGTTTTAAAATTTTGTATGGGCCAAACACAGCCTTGTTTTCAACCTGTAGACTATATTATGGGGCAATATTAGGGTATAAAAGTATTCTGAGAAGTTGAAAGCAGTGTGTGCATGGGGATGCATCTTTTCCCACAATTGATTTAGCACCAAAGGTGCTTGGGCCTGCGAATGAACAATGAACGTTGAAACGGTGAGCCTGAAAATGAGGCACTACCCTGTGCTCAGAGAGCCTTCTGGGAGATCTGAGTTGTGGTCCTCACCTGCAGTAAGTGGGTCACTAAACCTGGACCGCAACTTCCACATCTGTAAAATGAGGGACTTATATCGAATCCTTAAGACCTTTTCACTAAGAGGACCAGAAACAGGGCTGAAAGCCCACAGATGCTGAGGCAGGTTCACGCCGAGAGTGTTCTGTACCGATGCCTGGCTCTGACCCCTGATGAAGAGAAACATCTAATGTACTGGCTGGTCTTGTTTCTTCTCGGGAGGAGAGACAGGAGGACCTGCTGAAAGCTCTGTCTCTGCTTGTCCTCATGGGGGAGGGGTGGGGCTCGGTGGTAGCTTTAGAGCTGAGATACTTCTTCAGGCCTTTGTTCCCTGGAGGGTGGGGATTTGGGGTCACCTCTGGCAGAAGCCAAGGAAGACAGAAAGACCCCATGTGCTTGGGAGCTCCCCTGCCATCCTGTGACCAGTTACCCCACCCCCTAAAAAGTCTCTGTGCCTAGTCTTGTAGATGGAACAGAGGGTAAAGGAAGGCACGGAAGGAAAGAAGGTCAGGATTCTCTGCTTATAGTTGCTGGGGAGGGGATGGGAAGGCAGCAGAGAGTACTCGGTAGGGTGGGGAGAGGCTAGGGTCTGTGCTTGAGGAGAGAGATTTTTAAAGCCATCTTAGGAAGGATTTTAGGCTTTTTAGAGAGAGCAGGGCCAGGGACGCTGACCCAGAGAAGAGTAGGGTGTTTGGGGACGAAAAGGAGATGGTTCTCTAAGGCAGACGTTCTATTGTTTGCCGAGGAGACAGCCAAGACAGGGAGGTTCCGTGGACATGGATAGGTTTGGGGGTTTTCCGTTCCTGTTTACAGAAACTGGGGGAGGAGGGGGTTCACCCGGGGAGAGGAGCTACCTACCACTACTGTCAGCTGGGGCTGGTGGCTTTTGGGGGAGGCAAGGTGCCCTGGAGCCATTGGTGGTCTCTGATGGGACCTGGACACTGTTTTATTCCACCTGCCCTGGGCGGGGGCTGCTCTGTGGTCTGTTACCTGCTCAGATGGGCCCAAGCTGGAGACACCCCATTGCCCTCCCCGGCCTGCAGGTGAACGTGCTGGCCCTCAGCATCTGCACGCGGGAGGCCTACCGGTCCATGAAGGAACGCAAGGTGGATGACGGGCATATCATTAACATCAACAGGTGAGGCAGGTGGCCAAGGGCTAAAGCTCAGACCACCACTCACCCACCAAGCTGGGCGACCATGCTGAGTGATCTGTTGCAGCTCATTTGACCTCTTTGGAGGTCCATTTCATTGGTGGTAAAGTAGGGATTTAATACCTGGTTAGCAGCCAAATGGCCCAGTTATGGGTGAGGGAAAGAATAGGGCATATCGAGTGCCAGGCCCTAGTTGGACTTGCAGAGGGCGCAGGGCTTGCAGGAGCCGCCTGAATCACAGAAGCTACCTCGGTGGGCCCCCAGGATGGCCTCCAGAGGTCCCGCTGAGCAGGCTTCCGTGGGGCATCCGGGTGGCAGGGCTGACTGGTGCAGCAGGGGACACGGCTGCTCTCAGCAGCTTCACTCTCTTCTTTCCCCTTCTCTCCCTCCACCCAGCATGTCTGGTCACCAAGTGTCACCCCACTCCGTGATCCATTTCTATAGTGCTACCAAGTATGCTGTCACTGCACTGACAGAGGGACTGAGGCAAGAGCTTCGGGAGGCCCAGACCCACATCCGAGCCACGGTGAGGGTGCGGCCTGGTCCTGGGGCCGGGGGCGGGGGGCAGGGTGGGCACAGGCCCTCCCCACCCCCCACGCACGCTGGTCAGGGTGTGCTGCTGGGAGCTTGAGGGCACAGGGCCCCTGGGCTCTGCCGCTGCTTGCATGAGCCTGCCCAGTCCTTGCCTGGGAGTGGGGGGGGCTGACGGGAAAGGGAACACAGTGGGTGAGACTGAGGGAAAGCAAGGGGTGTGGGAAAGCCTGGCTGGAAACCCGGACTCTGGGCTCTTTCCTGGAAGGCCGCAGGACCCTGGGCAGCTCACTCAGCCCCTCCAAGCCTCAGCCTTCTCACTCATAAAATGGAGACAGTGACCCCTACCTGGCTATGACATTTTAAGGGACACTGTCGTAAAACCCTTACCGGAGAAGGGCTCTGTAGGTGGCGGGTGTCACTGCGATCATCGCAGCTTTGGGAGGACGGGGTGGTTGCTGGACATGGGGCAACCATCACCGGGAAGCAGGGGGCCCCTCCGTCTCCATCCTGCCCTCCCCAAAGCCTGGCCTCTGATTGGGGTGGAGGTGGGGCTTGGCTCGGCCCCTGAGCAGGCCCTCTCTGTTGGTCCAGTGCATCTCTCCAGAAGTGGTGGAGACACAATTCGCCTTCAAGCTCCATGACAAGGACCCTGAGAAGGCAGCTGCCACCTATGAATGCATAAAGGTGGGGCCTCCCTCTGGGATGGCTGAGCCACTCACCCCCTACGTAAAGGCAGAGGGAACCCTGGCCTTTGGACTACACCCTTCTAGCCAGCCTGTCGCCCCTCCTGGAGGGCTGGGGTGGGGATGAAGATGCTAGAGAGGACATTAGAGGTGGGAGGTCCATTCTGCCCTCACCTCACCCCCTTTCCTCCGGTGCTCTCCAGTGTCTCAAGCCCGAGGATGTGGCCGAGGCTGTCATCTATGTCCTCAGCACCCCTCCACACGTCCAGGTGAGTCTGGCCTTGACTGGCCACCCCCTGGAGGAGGCCAGCCATCCTCAGAGGAGGACAGCAGGGAGGCCTTAGGGGGTGGGGACAACGTCCTGGCCGCCTCAAGCCTTGTGCCTTCCAGCAGATTGGAGATATCCAGATGAGGCCCACGGAGCACGTGATCTAGTTTCCTGTGGGGAGCTCGGCCTTCCCTCCCCGCCCCTCGCAGCTTGGCTCCTGCCTCTGGATTTTAGGTGTTGATTTCTGGACTCCTGGATTCTGCTTCCTCTCCCCACCCCACCAGGGGCTAAAAAATTTGTTTGAAGTTTTTATATCTTATCAAATCGTTTCCATCACAAATAGGAACAGTGGGCTGGGAAGAGGAGGTGGTGTCCCTGATTATTTTACCTGTTAACTCATTCTCAGTCCCCTTCTTAGGCTCCTTGGCCTTTGTTTGCTCTCTTCCGTCTCTTCCTTTTGACCTGGGGAAGGGACTGTGGCCAAAAGGGGGGCTCCCCCTGTCCCTCAGGAAGGAGGTGGCAGAGAGAAGCCCTCACCTTCCATCTGAATGGTAATCCAAGGCTCCAGGCTTCCTCCTCTCCCTGCCCTACTGCCCCATTGCCCCTTCACTTCCCCCATCCCAGTTCTCCAGCCCAGTCTTGGCTTCTCGGCTCCCCCAGGGGTCATCACTCCACTGACTATGGCAGCTGAATACCAGGGCCTGCCTCCCAAGTGGATTTCACTGTGATAATTAAAAAAGAAAAATTGCAACAACTTCAGGAGTGTCTTTCAGTTCTTCCTCCTTTTCCGTGATCAGGGGCGGTTGTGGGTGGATTTGGGGCATCACTCCTGGAGTGTGGATGACCTTAGGTAGCAGATGTGGGTTTGGGTTGGGTCTTGAAAATGGGTCGTAGTTTGCCAGCCAGGAAAGAGGACAACAGTGGAGACGAGGGTGGGAGGCTGGCTGTGCAGGCAGTGGTGTGGGAACAGCACGGAACATAGTGCGGAGCTGTGCGGGGCTGGAAAAGAAGTTCCTGCCTGGATCACCGGAGGTCTGAGTGCTGAGCCAGGAGACTGCCCATTACCTGTGGGCCGAGGGCATCAGTTGGCTTGTCAGCAGGCGCAGGACAGGCACAGAGCTGTCACTTAGAGAATCAGCCGCCACGGGATAGGAAGTTACTGCTGGGGTCCTGCTGACTGATGCCGAGGGTTTGACAAGGCAGTGGAGGTGGAGAGGAGGGGCTGGATGCAGAAGTTTCTAAGGAAAATCACCAGCACCGGTGGTGAGCTGGATGGGGGGAGGGAGTCACCACGGTTGATCTGGTTGACCACCTGCTCTTAAAGTGGCCTTTGCTGGTGCCTGGGGTGAGTGTGGCCCTCCAGCCTCCTGGGACCTCTTGGGACCTGGAAGGGCGCAGAACGAAGTCGCTGGTAGGGGTGGCTCGGCCGGCGGCGGGTACAGAGAAGGCGGCCGTTCAGCCAGCCCTGCAGGAGGCGCTGTGGGCACGGCCCGGCGGGAGGGCATGCGCAGTGCGTCGGCGGGCCGGGGGCGGGCCGCCTGGACCCGGAAGCGGGGTAGCCCACGTGGGAGGCGGGGCGGGGCCGCTGTGGTTCGGCTCCCTGGTTCTGGGTAGTCTCTGCCGGGCAGTCCGGGCCGCTCGTCCTCTTCACCCGTGTTGGGGAGCCGGCCCCGGCGGGAGAGAGCGCTCCAGATGACGCTGCAGGGGCATTGACCATGGCACTGCTCTTGGCCGTCGGGGGCGCGACCTGGCGTTGCTCGGGTCGCCTCCCCGCGCGTCATTTCTCCCGAGCGGCGCGGCGTGGGGAGCGGCCAGGCGGGGAGGAGCTGAGCCGCCTGCTGCTGGACGACCTGGCGCCGACCCCGCGCTCTGCGGGGGGACTGGAGCTTCTGTTTGGCCTGTCCCCTTGTCTCCTGGCCCTGCGGGCCGCCCGTCGCCGCGTGGCCAGGCTCCTGCTCCAGGCCGGCCGGTCCGGGTTGCAGGGGGAGAGGGCCGAGCTGCTCCGGGCGGCAGAGGCGCGGGACATCCCCATCCTGCGGCCCAGACGGCAGAAACTGGACGCCCTGTGCCGCTTTCAGGTCCACCAGGGCGTCTGCATGGAGGTGAGCCCGCTGAAGCCTCGGCCTTGCACCGAGGTCGGGGAGGCGAGGCCAGGCGACGACCCCCAGCAGCTGTGGCTCGTCCTCGAGAGGCTCCAGGATCCCCGGAATCTTGGGGCCGTGCTGCGTTCTGCTCACTTTCTCGGAGTGGATAAAGTCATCACCAGCGGGAGACACAGGCACGGACGTCCCTTAGTCCCCATGTGCCCCAGTTCGGGGCGCAGCCGAGTTTCTACGCACCTTGATCCTTGATCCCTCAGCCAGGCCTCCCCATCGCCAGAATTCTCACCTTAACCCTTGGGGGCCCAGGCGGAGGGCAGGGCACTGGGTTTGCGATTACCCAGCTTAATGCGGGGCATGGGGAAATTTGCAGCTGCCCACTCACTCCGGTAGTCAGCAAGGCCAGCGCGGGGGCTCTGGAGGTGATGGACGTGTTCTCCACTGATGACCTGGCCGGCTTTCTACAGGTAATGGCGCGCGGGGTGGGGGTGGGGTAAAGGAGCAGAAATGAGCCAAGCTCAGTCTCTCCAAGGGCACTCATCCAGCAGCTGATGGAGGAAGGGGAGGATGTTGGCAGCCTTCCCTACGTCCTTCTAAATCGCTTTGGGAAGGATCCTGGAATTTTTGAAACCATAGGTAGAGCAGGATCTGAAGTTAGAGACTTCGTAGCTTCATCCCCTTTACCTCACTCCTTCCTCTGGCATATCTCTTTGCCCCGGAGGCTAGCGCACCTGAGAGCTTCACTGCCTTCTCAGTAGGTTGTCAGTAAATGCTTTTTGTTCAGCTGGGAGAAGCTGGGTGGCAGGAATCATGCATTTGCTGAGGAGAGGAGAGGTCCAAAGGCTCTTTGAACAAGGACAGACTAATCTCTGCCTTTCCCCTCCTCCCACCCCCACAAAAAACAAAAACTCAAACAAACCACCACCACCACCACCACCACCACCACCACCACCAAACAACAACAACAACAACAACAACAACAACAACAACAACAACAAACAACTTTGATATCCAGGAAGGGATAAACCTGAAAAACCCCTCTACTGGTCCAGGTTTTGGCCTTCAGCTGTGCTTCTCTTGCTGGACACAGGGGGGCAGTCTTGCCTTGCATTTGGCTGCTCCCCTGACCAGCCGCCCCCTCAGGGCTTCCAGGCCCAGTCCTTGGATCTCTGTTCATTTCTTAAGTTTCATCTGGTCTCAAGGCCTTAAACACCATCTATACTTGGATGTCTCCCAACTGTGTATCCTAGCCTGGATCTTACTCATGAGCCCCAGATTCACCAGCTGCCTTTGTGATCTGAGGGGCATTTCAAACTTCTTTCCAAAGCTGAGCGCTTCCTTCTGTAGACTTGCCCAGGTCAGTCGAGGGTGACTGCATCGCCTTGTTTGGGCCCAAAGCTGTGGTGGCCTTGATTCTTCTTCCTGCTCTCACACCCCGTGGCCCACCTACCTGCAGATCCTTTCGGTTTTCCCTTGAAGTTATTTTTGTATTCACACCAATCCTCACCATCTCTACAGCTCCCACTGTGGTGCAGGATACCATCCTCTCTTGCCTGCCTTATTGTGGAAACATCCTCACCAGTCTCCTTCTGCTATTGGCTCTCAACACAGCCGGCAGAGTGATTCTGTTGAAGCATGTCAGACCATCTTACTTCTCTGCTCAAAACCTTTCAGAGCCTTTACAGCTCTCCCAGAGTAAAAGCCAAAGTCCTTCCAGTGGCCTTCGAGGTCCTGCCTTAGGTGGCCACTTTGTTTCCCTCTCCTGTCCCCACGGCTCCCTCCGCACGGGCCACCACCTTGCCGGTCTGCCGTTCCTCACACATGTCCTATAAGCACCAGCCTCTCAGCCTTTGCATTTACTCATCTCTGCCTAGATTATTCTTCCCCCAGATGTCTACATGGTACTCTTCATACCCTTCAGCTCTGCCCTCCAGTGTCACCTCAGGGAGGCCCACCCCAATCACCCTTCCTCTGGGTGGCTGCGATTATGGCCTGTTTTGTTCCCTGCCCTGTCCCCAGAGCCTAGAACAGAGCCTGTCCATTCTAGGGCCTTAATAACTGTTGACTGAATTGAGTGGATCAGCGAGGGATTGACTATATGGGCAAGTCCAGCTCCTCGCCTGGGGCTCTGATGAAGGTTTGGGGAGCTAGAACGTGATTTCTTCTTGTCAGGCCAAAGCCCGGCAGGGCTGGCTCGTGGCTGGCACGGTGGGCTGCCCAGGGCCTGAGATGTCCCCCTTCTCTGGGATCCCCACCACTAGCTGCTTGGATTTCCTCTGGGACCGGCCTACTCTCCTCGTGCTGGGTAGGTAGATGTCCCCACTTTTCCGCATTCAGATGTGCATGTCCCAAGCGCCTGCGCGTCCCGCTGTGGCCTCCTTACCCCTGTGCATCCGTGCCCTGCAGGTAACGAGGGCTCGGGCCTGTCCCCGGCCGTGCAAGCCTCCTGCCAACTGGCCCTTACCGTCCTGCCCGGCCGGCGGCTGCCTCCTGGACTGGGGTCCTTGAATGTCTCCGTGGCTGCAGGTGAGTCTGCTGTTGCCCAGCCTCCTGCCCTGTGATCGCACACGCATGGCTCCTTCTCCCTAAACAAGTCGCTCTGTCTCTCTCTGTCTCTGTCACTGTATGTGCCAAATGGGGAAAGTGCATTCTTTTGAGAATGAAACGAGGGAGTGCTGGGATGTGGTCCTTCCTCCTCTCCATCCTCTCCCTTCCCCTTGTCCTTTTGTCTGTCGGCGCAGGAATTCTTCTTCACTCCATTTGCAGCCAGAGGAAGGGTTTCCCTGTGGAGGGGAAAAGAGAGCACCTTCTCCAAGACCCCGGAGAACCCTCAGCCACATCAGAAGGGCCCGGAGTGGCACAGCACCCAGGACTGGCCTCAGCATCAGAACAAGAGAGGCAGAATGGGAGCTGACTTGGACTGAGTTGTGTGTGCTGGAGGGCACACATACGGTACACGCTCAAATGTGCTGGAGTCTCTTGCCCAAGTGTGCACCCAGGCCCTTGTTTACTAACCACTGTCTGGGGAGCAGGGAGCTCTGCAGTAGAGACCAGAGGAAAGTTATTTCCTGTTTTGATTTTGGCCTTGGGGTTGTGGGTGGTGGCTTGTTCATCTCCAGAATGTGCTGCGCTGGGATAGAGGGTCTCTCTTCCAGGGCCCTGCCTGGAAATCAAGACATCAGAAGGGAATTGGGCAGCCCAGTCCAGTTGTCCTGCTCCTCTTGAACCAGTGTGAGAATGTAGAGGGAGGCCTGGGTTCCTCTTGTGGATGAGACAGGTACAAATCCAGGCTAAACCCAGCCCCAGTGGGGTCCTTGAGCCCATGGCTTCATCCTTCCACGCCTGCCTCCCAGGGCTCTTTGTGAGGATCAAATAAAATCCCCTGGGCCAACTGAGGGTTCTAGAGGGGAGGGGGGTGGGAGGATGGGTTAGCCTGGTTATGGGTATTAAGGAGGGCATGTATTGCATGGAGCACTGGGTGTTATACGCAAACAATGAATCATGGAACACTACATCAAAAACTAATGATGTAATGTATGGTGATATAACAATAAAATTAAAAAAAAATCCCCTGGGCTGTTCTGTCCTATTCCTCCACTAGGTGGCAGCCTCGCTCTTTGATCTACAGTCTCTCCTGGCAGCTTTGGCAGCCACCTGGAGAGATGCTTGACGGTGGCCCCCAGAGGGGCAAGGGGAAGATTAGCAAACGCCTCTCACCTCACTGGCCCTCCAGAACCCCTCACCAGCGACTCTGAGAAGGGAACCCATGAACCACAGAACCTGGCCTTTGGTTCTGTGTAGTAGTGAGCACAGGGTTGCTGTCGATTATACAACCCAGATGGGCTTGGTCCTCCTCCCACGGGGTCCCACAAGTGGAGCAGAAGCCCCCAGTATAAGTGGTTTAGAGCAGTCTTGGCTGCACGTTGGAACCATCTGGCAAGTTTTCAAAAACAATCGACACTGGGGGACTACCCCTAGAGAACCTGATGTAAATGGTCAGGGGGCAGCCTGGGTATCGGGATTGTTAAAGCCCCCAAATGGGTCTGCTGTGTAGCCCCAGCTGAGAACCACTGGAGCAGGGCTTCTGGACCTCGGCAGTCTTGACATTCGTTGTGATGGCTTGTCCCCCACTGGATGCCAGTAGCACGCCCTGCACCCTGTTGTGACAACCAAATGTGTCTCCAGACATTGCCACATGTCCCCTCCGGAGGACACAGTTGCCCCTAGTTGAGAACCACTGCTCTGGGGCCTGGGTCTGGAGAACAGCAGCCCAAGTTCAAGTCCCGATTGCTGTGTGACCTTGGGCAAGTTCCTTTCCCACCTGAACCTCAGTCTCCTCGTCCATGAAGGGGGATCACCCTACCATCCCGAGTTGTGGGAGGACAGAGAGGGCAACGTGAGCTCAGCGCCCCCCACACAGTGGTGCTCAGTAAATCATAGCACCCTTTTCTCTTTGGAATGAATTTATCTTGGAATTTGATGGGGATGCCAGTTTAGAAAGACATTAAAAGGGCCTAAGATTGCTCTAAAGTCAAAGTTTTTCCTCTCAAGAAAGAGGAAGAGGGGCGCCTGGGTGGCTCAGTCGTTAGGCGTCTGCCTTCGGCTCAGGTCATAATACCAGGGTCCTGGGATGGAGCCCCACATCAGGCTCCCTGCTCGGTGGGAGGCCTGCTTCTCCCTCTCCCACTCCCCCTGCTTGTGTTCCCTCTCTCGCTGTGTCTCTCTGTCAAATAAATTTTAAAAATCTTGAAAAAAAGATATAGAGGAAGAGGAAGAAATCCTTTCGTGAAACTCAGATCTCTCTACCACGTTGGTCCCCTTGAGGTGTCCGTCTTCAACTCCCACACAGATTCTGACTTCTACTAGCACAAGTCAGCCTTGGGCATATTACACGGCCTCCCTCACCCCTGCTGTGCTCTTGGCCAAGAGCCTAATGTGGCTTTGAACCTTGGCTACACCTTAGATGGGGTTGAGGATGTGTGTGGTGGTGGTGGGGACATCTTTAATATTCCAGATGCCCAGGGGCATCAGGCTGATTCGATCAGAATCTCTTGGGAAGGAGACAGGTCCCGTGTTTCTTAGAGCTCCCCAGCTGACACCAGTGAGCCGTCGGGTTCGAGAATCACCGGTCTTCGAACCACCTTCTCATGTCCAAGAAACTGTTTCTAAATCACTCACACCCATGCTTTTGAGTGCATGTCTGAAAGTTTGGGCCAGTTGACCTTTTATCTCTGTCCCTAAGGTTTTTAAGAAGGTGCTGGGTCCAGCCCTGGCTGCATGGCTTCTGGCCTGGATGGCTTCCCAGCCTCCGCATATGTAAGATGGGGATAGTGCCTTCAGACCTGCTCCAGCTAGCCCTCCCCAACAGGGATTTGTAAAAATAAAACGAGAGAGGGGCACCTGGGTGGCTCAGTTGGTTAAGCAACTGCCTTCGGCTCAGGTCATGATCCTGGAGTCCTGGGATCGAGTCCCACATCGGGCTCCCTGCTCGGCAGAGAGTCTGCTTCTCCCTCTGACCCTCCCCCCTCTCCTGTACTCTCTCTCATTCTCACTCTCTCAAATGAATAAATAAATCTTTAAAAAAATTAAAATTAAAATTAAAAAAAAACGAGAGAGCATCAGTAAAATAGCATTCTGTAAACCTAAGCACTGTGTACCCCAGGACTAGCACATGATAACACAGACCTGCATGTAACTGCTCAGTTTATGTACAGAGTTGCCTGGGCCACAGCATACCCAGATATTTGGTCAAACGTTACTCTGAGTGTTTCCGTGAAGGTTTTTGGATGAGATGAACATTTAAGTTGCAGGGCGCCTGACTGGCTCAGTTGGAAGAACATGTGACGCTTGATCTCAGGGTTGTAAGTTTGAGCCCCACGTTAGGTGTAGAGATTATTAATAAATAAACAGATTACTAATAAACAAACTTTAAATTGGTAGACTGAGTAAGGCAGAGCGCCCTTTCCAGTGTGGATGGGCCTCATTCAATCAGTTGAAGACCTGAATGGTGGGGCGGGGGGGGGGGGGGCGGGGAAGACTGACCCTCCCCTGACTAAGAATTCTTCCTGCCTTTTGGAACTGAAACATGGGCTCTTCCTGGTCCTGAGCCTGCTGGCCTCAGATGGGGACTACCTCATCGCTCTCCTGGGGCTCCAGCTTGCTGACTCACCCTGCAGAACTGGGACTTGCCAGTCTTACAATGACAGGAGCCAAGTCTCCATAATAAATAAGCAAGGATGTGTACATGTGGATGGAGATATGGGTATGGATAGACACCACCTCTTGGTTCTGTGTCTATGGAGAATCCAGACTACTAGACTTGATGAAAATGAATGGAGATGTTCCCTCCGTGTGGGGCAATACAGAATCGAGCTCTGCTCTCTAGGACCAAACCCAGCATGGAACCTAGACGTTGGGATTGGGGCTACTTGGGGTTCAGAGCCTGCTCTCCTGCCCACGGACTCCTGTGTAGTGTCTGTACCTAATCTAACCTGCTTTGGGCATGGTGGGTCCCAGGAGTCTGAACCATCTAGAGAGCCACTCTGGGGGCTACCAGCCATGCACGTTGGGGGCGGGGGGAGATGGGGAGGCTCCTCCCTGCTTCATCCCCTGGGCACCACGCTGTCTGGCCTCTGGGAAGGCAGGTTCACTTGAACCAAAGGGTATTGAGGCCGTAATTACCTGCCAGGCACACATCGGTATGTAGTTCTGTCATGCAAACCAGGCATTAAGACAAAGAGAAAGCACCTGAGACCCCAAGGCTAAGGATGAGGTGGGAGTTTCCTTGGGGTGGGGGAAGCTCTGTGCCTGCCACACAACCCCGAGTAGCCCCAGTGCACAGGCCCCCGGGGAGGCCGTGGCTGCGGGTATGAAGGGGGGGCCGGGTGGGGGTGCATCCCCTGCAGGGCAGGGTCAGGATGAAGCCAGAGGGGAGCAGGGGCGGTTGAGAACACGACCCTGGCTGTTAGGCAGTGCTTGCTTGGAGTTCCAGCGCTGACTTGGTAGTCGCGTGAATATGGACGTATCTCTTAACTTCTCCGCGTCAGAGGCCGGGTGGGGGGCGGATTCAAGGAGCTTAGGCGAGTACAGCGCTCGGCCGGGTCCTGGAGGAGCAGGACGGCTGTTCTTGTAGCCCCTGAGGGCACCAGCTCTGCTGTCCTACCAGCCTGGCCTCCCCCAGAGACTCCAGGGCCTATTTCAGCTGCAACACAAGATTTACCCCTGAGAACCGCTGGAGGGAGTTGGAGAGGGGAGGGGGTTGAAACGACATTGGCAAGATCCTCCTTTGTCAGGGTTCCCCAGCCAAGAGGGGAAGGGGCTCAGAAGGTTGGTATTCCAGAAGAGCTGAATTGTGGCCAGCACCCCCAGCCCCCTCCAGGGCTGGAATTTTTTTTTTGGCAGGAAGCTAAATCGCCAGGTCGCTCCCCCAGGCTGAGGTCCTAAATGAGACCCTCCCCCATCACTCTGGCAGGGCCAGGCGCCAGGGATCCCCACCGTTTGTAAATGTAATCAACCTTGAGGTCTCGGGCTTCCACAGGTGCAATTAGCATGCCCATCTGCTAATCCCTGATTAATGATGTTTACAAACACAGGACGCCACTCACGGAGCTGCTCAGCCCCTCCCTCCAGGACCAGGAGGCAGGGGTCTTCCTAATAGCACCCCCGCCCCTCCACACACACACACACACACACACACACACACACACACACACTATCTTTAGGCCAATGTCCCTCTCCATCCCCTTCCCCAGGCAGTGGGCAGAGCTGGAGGTCCCTCCATGGAGCCCCCTGGCCCAACTCTCCTTGCACACATAGGGAAAGAAGACCCAGAGAGCACGCAGGGAGAGTATGAGGCTCAGTGGTAGGGCTAGGATCCTGTTCTTCCCTCTTTCTCCCCGGTTCTGGAATCTCTGAATACAGGGTGGGCTTGCTGCCTTTCTTCACCATGCCAGCTTCAGCTCTGGAGTCACACCCACAGGCCTCCCTGCATGGAGGTGGGAGCCCACCCCCCATGTCCCAGGGGTTGGGCTCCTCTACCTGTCTCCAGACAGGGGACCATTTCCACTCCACCCACCTTCCTACTGAGGTCCTTGGTGTCTCCATGCCCAGGGGCACAGTAGCAAAAGCATTAAGAACGCAGACTTCTGAGACAGACA